GATTATCTTCCGATTTGGATGATTCTTTATGGATGTATTGGTATTGCGATCGGATTCATTTTCACTTATTTAAAATTTCTCGCACTTTGGTCTTTTTTACTTATTGCTAGTGCTATTGGTCTGTTCTATTGTAACACTTATAAATGAATAATTTACAGTTTTTTCTTATTCTTATAAAGTTCAAATGCAATATCTTTAAAAAGACAAAAAATTTGTTATTACACTGATAGAATGCTAAGAATAAAATTCTTAAATATTTTTAAAATTTTATGATTATTTGGTGAAAAAATTGTGGAAAATTTTTCAAATTGATATATTTTAATAAACTTAGCGAAGATATAAAATGTAACTTTTTTGATAAGTTTTAAGATCATTTAATATTAGTAAAATGATAAGCATAAATTTCACAGTGTATGAAATTTCAGGTGCAGCACGGTTATATCCAATTTACACACAAGTTCAGCACACTGATAACGAAAGATTATTCTATTGTTCACAATCAGTGTATTTATTATCATTCATAATTGTAACTTTTAATATTGCTCTATTTATCATAACGCTTTTCGCGTGGTGCGCTTTTTGTGCTCGGTCAATTGCATCTAATATAATGAAAAATAAAGCTAACGTTAAATTGAAATTTTCATTAAGCGTTTATTTTAGCATAAAAAAATATACGAAAGTTAATGAAATAACTTTAGTTGGCTCAACTAAATATGTATACATTTCAAATGCATTTAAAATTTTATTATAATTTGAAATTCAAATTTAACTATGTTCAATTTTAACTATTTATTGATTTGTTCATTTTAAAATTCTGAATAAATTCAATTTCAATTTAGTTCAAATTGCAAAATTTCAAAGTTAGCATTTTATTAATAAATAATTATTAATTAACTATTAGTAATAATTCATCAGAAACATGCAACATTCAGTTATTAAAAAAAATTGAATCATCCATTTGTCTGTGATATATTATTGAAATAACTTTGAAATAGAACTGACAGTATACGCTTACGAATGAATGACACATTCTGTTGAACAAACCGTTTATTTCAAGCATTTATTATCATTGACGTTTGAATTTGTGATGAAATGCATTTAAAGGTGTTCTCTTAAAGTATTTGAAAGAACGCTTTACCTGTCCGAGAAGAGTTCAAATGTAATGTAAAAGAACGAAATACTTTTGCTAGCACCGCTTGAAATTCATAGTAATAGTTGGAAAAAGTTTAAAGTACATCAAAAAAAAATCATCTTATTTAAATAAGCATTACTGAACTCAAAAGCGGTAGTGTCTGAAGAAGTACGACCACTAATAGAAATGTGTTGAAGAACAGAATGACAGTTGTTTAGGGAGGATTTTATGACTGTTTTCATTTTCCAAATAAATTTTTTTCTTCGCACACACACACACACACATACATACATACACATACACACATACACACATACACACACAGATACACACACACACACACATACGTACCCACACCGTCTAAACTGATCAATTGGTTTCAATGTGGTGTTAAGTGAATAATTTTTGTTATTTACTACATTTTTTGAAGTTCAATTGGAATAATCAACCAACCGGTTTAAAGAAATTACAAAAATGAAAGATCACTTTTTTCCTCGGATATTGTATTGGTTTGATTACGGTTTTAATGAGTAATATTGGAACATAAAAAGGATAGTAATCCGGAAATTATATCATTAAAGAAAATGATTTTTTCTTCTGTTAGAATACTTTCAACAATTACATTGTGTCATTTGTTTTGAAGCAAATTTCAAGAATTAATTCCAATGATCGAAATCTTTTACAGAATCTGAATAAAAAGAGAATTTTTATATATTGGGAAGTAATACATTTCGATATTCGTAATATGAAAGATAACTAAAGAGAATACCTACGTAATATTACGTGATATGTGACGTGATATTATATCTTTTATAAATCATATTCCATCCGTATTTTCTACATCTATTTTACCAGATATATATATATATATATATATATTGCAATAATGTATTATATATAATGTTTAGACTGAATAGATTAATTAATGTCAAATAACGTACGCTTAAAGACGTGAATAAAAAGACATAGGCCTAAAAAGATAATAAAAGAGCCTAAGGAAAATTTCTATATTTCGTTTAGTAATTTTTATAATTTGATGAGTTATATGATAAATTAAATAAAATATTGATAAGGAATTTTGCAAGCGAAAATAATTCGCTTTTAACTTATTCTTCCTTTTTCAACAAATCAGTCATTGATTCATAATTTTTAAAAAAAAGAAAATATTTTTCCTTTCATTGACAAATCATTCGATCGTTCTCATTTCACATTGATTATTTCATTTCATTTCAAAATGTTACACTAAAATCAATTGTTATTGTTATATTTGATATTGGAAATTAATATTGTAAATATCTTTGGTTTCTTTTCTGTTAATTAACAATTTAATAGTGAAATTTAAGAGAATGCTTTTATAAAATGTTGAAAAGAATTAAAATAAGAGATTGAAATGAGAAACAAATTTATTTGTTCAATTTTTCTCAATGACACATCCAATATTTATATTCAATTTTTAATTTTTCCTCTTATCTTTAATTGTAATTGTATTTTTTGAATTGTCTCATTGAAAATTATATATTCTTCATTTTATACTTATAATTTTCACTTTCTCTCTTACCTTTAGTTTATAACTTTCTATAACTTTTCCTTTTTATCTTTATTTCTATTAACTTTATATGTAACAATTAAAGATAAGAACAAAAAAAATTAAAAAAAGCTCTTTCTTTCTCCTTTTAGTTTAATTTACTTGAAAAATAATGAAATTTTTAAACGATACAATAATTTAATTATTAATTATTCATTTAATTGTTTTAATTAAAATTCGCTATCCCACGGAATAGAATATATCATTTAGAATTAAAATAAGAAAATGAAGAAAAATTGTTGCAATTATTGTTAATGGCAGTTTGATTATTTTAAAATTAAATTATTTAATATAATTAGTCCCTTTTTTAGTGATATCTTTAATTACTATTCTAAGCATTTACCAATCCTATTTTTTCAAAATTTCATATTATAATTTTTCTCTAAAAAGAACAATGGCATTAGAAGTTCATTCAATATTAAAATGATGAAAATGTTTGCGACAGCGACAGTTGGATAAGATTTCCAATTATATTATGAAAATAGCCGTATATTCTTCGAAGAGATGCAAAAATTTTTCGATATTTCCATTATCAATCGTTAGACGATGTTCGCGTCAGCTGTTAGATCCATTCATTCTATACCGCCAGAACTAAGTTTCAGCTCTAAATTCTCTTTATTCTCTTCAAAGATTTTGATTGGAAACCAGAAGAAGAAGATATATGCGATTGATATACACATTTCGACATTACTGCTATCATTGATCAATTAGCTATATTACAGCTTATTTCTTCATATACCAATGTGACGACGAGTTGTTACGATCAATCACTGTTTGAATTTTTTTCTTTCCTTCTTCCCACCCAAGGACAATAATCATTTTTATAATGATATTTCACACAGTTTGATTCCTAATTAACAGCTTAAATCATATTACTTCAGTTTTTTTTTAATTTATGCTGTGAAATAAATATTTATTTTTAAAAATTGTTCAGCAACTTTTTAAATATAACTTTGCATGGAAATGATACAGTATTAGTTGAAATGGTAGAAATTTCATCATTTTAGCTCATTAATTTATTCTTCTCAAATGTATTTCCATTATCCTAATTCAGTCCTATATTCGTTTTTACTGGAATAATATTTATTTTTAATTTTACAGTTGTCTTAAATTATTCAGTTCTCAATTTAGAAAGTTAGGCTATGGCGAAAAATAGATTCAGTTCTCCGGATAATGTAATGTGACAATTACGCCCGAAATACATGAGCACTTGTATTTATATATTTTACCATGGATTTGCTAAAGGTTGAACTGTTAGCCATATTATTTTTACTCACTGGAATTGGCCATATATTTTCAGGTAATAGTTAATTGTAAAATTCTCTTTTAAAAACCAATTTATTTTTCCTTACATTTTTAGTATTTAAATTATTTTAATTTTGAAAATTTAATTTCAGTATTATATGATGAGACATAATTTTCTTCAATATGATTTTTTTTTACAACAACAAATTGCATTTATGAAATGAATAGTTTACAATTACTGCAAAGTTTTTATAGCCTTGTTTGAAGCCATTCTCAGGCTTTGATTCCCTGAAATTCGAAAAATCAATCATTGCAAAAATTGTATTTAATCAAAGGAAAAAGCTTCTCCAATGAAGCTTCCAAAAAACTTTAGAAATTTTTCGTTCTCAAAGTTAGACTTTCGAAAAACTTTTTCGAACATTAATTAAAGTATATTTTCCAATATGAATAAATAAAAAAGTATTGAGATTAAGATGTAATTATAAATTTGATTTTTCAAGTTTTAATTATTTATATAAATAAATGAAAGATAATTACTAATCAACGATAAGTTTTTGAAGTTGAATGGAAACTGAAAAAACTAATTCAAAATTTTCGCTAATCAGTTGTATGAAATTGTTTCATTAATCATTAGTAGGAAGTTAAAGACAGCATTTTAAAACACTTTAACTTTTATTAATTGAAAATTTCAAAATTCGGTTATTTAAATTTCTGAAACTTGTTAAAAAATCTTCATAAAATGGATAGTAGAGTTAAATTGAAAAACAATAAGACGAAAAAAGAAGAATTTGCCAAGTTAAATCACATTTCGATATTTTTTTTGATAATTTGTTAAAAGTTAAAATATTTGCTCAAAAATTTCCCACAATTTACTGCTCTAAAAAATGTAAAATTAAATATAAGCGATTATAAATCCTAATTGCAACTTTTGCTTAACTTAAGCATTACGAAAGAACTAAGTTTTAGAAACTGTTAAAAGTTTATGAGGATGAATTTACGAATACGTCATTGAAATTTAGAAAAAAATGAATTACAGGTATGTTATGTAATTTCGAGTCGAAATGTGATTGGATGTTCGAGAGTCCAGCACGGAAATATCCACGTGATCCAAGACATAACTTTAAAGTTGTCGTTGGTAATCGCGAATTTAAGCCAAGTATGTTCATTTTGTGAAATTTTGTACAATACACTATATAGCAATAAAAAATTCCTCGAAAATAGCCTTTCAAATCGTTCAAATTTTGACATTGGATTAATTAATTAAATTAAAGACATAAAAAATTATTGAAACAAATTATGAATTTAGGTTCCAAATTTGATCACTACAAGTGAAATGATCAACAATTAATAAATTAATGGTTAACAAATTAAAAATTTACTAAAGAGCTATTAATTTTCAGCTCATTACGCATATTTCAATTTTACTAAAACACGTGAAGAACCAGCGATGATTATTAGCCCTTACTATCAACATTTGTCCAATCAGGTATATTACCTCAAACTTTTTGTTGAATTATCAACGAAATGTATGATTTCTGAGATAAATGGTGAATACATGGATGTTTAGTGAATATATAAATATGTATGATTTATAGTGTGAGCTCCGGTTTATGTTCCGTTTAATTGGTGATCCGGATGCGACATTGATGGTAACCAGTCAACATCGTGCCTTAAATGAAGCAGGTACTTATGCTGACCAATATGATTATGAAGATGAAACGGAATGGACAAGACCAACATTGCATTCTACATTTAATGCACGAAATAATTATATCGATTCGTTAGTTTAATTCTTCAATTAATTAAAATCAACAATGTTGAAATTACAAGTATGACATATAGCCAAATCTGTTGCATACAATTTTATAGCAATTTCTTGGCATAACGAATTTTGAAAACTTCGCAAAATGCTTATTAATCCATTTTTCCATTACAGCATGTTTTAATTATGCATTTCAAAACAAAGAAAGAGTTTGATTATGATATATAAATCTTATCGTTATCTTTTAACAAAGTTAAATAATCCAACTTATTATATTTATCCACCTTGTAATAATCCAACTTATTATATTTTATAATTATAATAACATACTATTATGAATTTTTTATTATTTTAAAAACTAAAAAAAGTTTGTTTCATTTCCCAAAATTTATTTATTCGAAATATATTGAGTTTAAATTACTCTTAAGAATATGCCATTTACATTGATTTCAAACTTAAACAAATTGAAATGCTTTCTTTAATTACCGTCAAAAATGATTTATTCGTCTATTTGAATATTTTGAAATGAACATATTTTTGAAGATGGAAGGAAGTTGGCGTACACATTGGACATGTTATTCATCCAACCAGAATTAGGATTGAATGTCACTCTAAGGGTAATAACGCCGTTGTTACAACAAAAGGAACAACCGAATGTTACATTGACAATATTGAAATGATCAAATGTGATGGTTAGTTTTCACAGTTATTTTCACAAAAGAAGGTACAGGCTTGGATTAAAGTTTTGATTTTTTCAACATTAAACTTAATTTTAATGTTTTAAATTTTGTCAAATACATAAACATTTAAATATTCAAATTTCTGTATTAAAAAAAATTGAAGCTCAAATTGATAATCATTTTGTAGAAGAAGTGTGGTACGAAAATATATGTCAATCGAATAAGACTAAAAAATATTTGTGCAATAAATATGATCGTCCGAAATGCATTGATTACGATCAATTATGTGATATGACTGTCGATTGTCCAGGAGCTGAAGATGAACAAACTGATTTACACAATTGCAGTAAAATTTAAAATAAATTTTTTTAAAAATTTCTTTTCAAATTGAGTATTTTATATATTAAATAAAACAATCAAAAATATAACTTGTATTATTAATTCTTTATATTGTAAATAACAAACTTTTTGCTTTTTTTAAAGTTGATTATTTTAAATAGAATTTAAAAATTTTAATTAAGCAAATTTTAAGCAAATTTTAATACTATTCATTATACTGTAAATTTAAAATGTTTAATTTTGGTGCTGATTTATTTTCAGCAGCAGTACCAACTGGTGCTCGTTGTACATTTGAAGATGAAAATGAACAGAAGACAGTTTGTATTGGATGGCGTTTGGAAACATATTATGTTCACAATAGTCGAAGAGCAGATGAAAACAAACATCTTTTCATTCGAATTAATGCCAGCGATGCAGCGAAACAATCATCACTGAAACATATCCCACAAAAGGATCATACCTTTGAACATAATAATAATAGCGGTAAGTTTTTATTTTTATTTTACATTTCAATAAAATAAATTTATTATTTATTTTAAAATATAGGAAAAAATGAAGATTCTTAAAAATCTATTCGGAAGAAATTATATTATATTAAATAGATTTTAGTAGATTTATTCATTAAAATTTCATTTCATTTTTCAGGTCATTTTTTATATTTTACATCGGAAGATGATCAAGAACGAAAGAGCTTCACGGATACTAAATCAACTTATTTTATATCACCACATTTTCCACCAACCGTTAATATACTCCACAATTCGGTTGCACTTCCATCAAATTCATGCAGGGTATTTGTTTACACTTTATGAATTTTCTAAAGATGACATCATTAGATAGTTTCTAAAAGATATTTTAAAGCAACTCTTCACTTTAAAATTTTTAGATACGATTTTACTACTGTTCATATGGAAGTTCCATTTCGACGCTACAATTGACAGTACATCCGATTAACGGTCAACCACCGAAAATCATCTGGACTCCACCATCACTCTCGTTCGCTGACCATAATTACTACTGCGAATGGATAAAAGTATCCATTGATTTACCAGAACAGGTTTATTCATCAAACCATCTTATCTGCATCTTATCTTACCATCATATCGTATCTTTTCATTTTACTTTTGCTTCATTTCTTAAATGCTTCAGAAATTTTCATTTCTTCATTAAAATATTTGAATTTTAAAATTTTCAGAAAAGTGAATACTATTTAAAAATGGGTGTAAGCAGAATATTCGACTCATCAATAAGTTTTGCCATTGATGATTTCTCGATGACACCAGATTGCTTTACTAATGGTTCATTATTTCTTTTTCATTTTTTGAAATTTCTTCAATTGTTGAAATTCTTTTTTTAAAATAAGTCGACATTTCCAACGAAAGTAATTCTTTTCTGAATGCATAATTAATGGATTTTTTAACGAAAATTTTACAATGAAATAAACAATTGTAATTTAGAAGAAGCATGGATTGCGCAATACATACCTTATGTATATAATATAACAAGTTGTGGACAACAAGGATCTCATCAACCAACACCTGAAAATTGCGATAATTTTTACAATCAAAGGTGCGTGAGTGATAATTTTTTCGAAAGTGTTATATTGTCCATTGATAAAATCTTATCGTATCATTCATTACTCACACTTTTAGAAGATGCAGAATAAATTGACGTGTAATCTGGGCAATCATACTTTGTACCTGTGATAATTACGGAAGAGTGCTACAATATTCGCAAAAATATGCAAATAAATTGCGACATATAATTTTGACCAGAATTTTTTTACTGTGAAATTCTTTCAGTGCAACAAAAACGCTATTACGAAACAATACTTCCAATGGGTTTCAGAAATGGATTGTACCAAAAACTGGAGAATACAGGTATTTCACTTATTTTTTCACTAATTTGTAGAGAAATTTTAAAATTTAATTTATAAAACTTGCATTTTTTAAAGAATCGAAGCATATGGCGCATCTGGAGGACATCTTGCGCAACAAACAATCAATAATTATGGTGGTCAAGTGATTACTATAGTTAATTTAACAGTAGCTACAGAATTAAACATTTTGGTAGGACAAATGGGTGAAAGTCCATGTGATTATTTTAAAGATTCTGCTGATGGCACAGTAAGTTCATTTTTCGTATAAATGAAAGATAGTAACAACAACAGATATGATAAAATTGGTAGAGTAAAGACATTATCAATGAATTTTCATAATAAATGGCGAAATTTTTCTTGTAAAAGTCTTAAATTTAAATTTTAAAATTAAAAATTTAATAATTGAACAACTAGAAGTTTGAACTTAAGATTAATAAATTATTTACTAATTAACTACAAATTTAGGGAATAATAGAATTTTTCAGAAGAGTCACCAATACGAAGTGTTGAAATATTTATGCAAGAAGGGCGATAGCATATGGAGTGATGACACAGCGGTTGCAAATGCTATAATGTTCCCGGGTACTGGTGGTGGCGGTGCAACAATTGTTAAGTATCAAAATACGATTATTTTAGTTGCTGGAGGTGGTGGTGGAATATTTCCGGAACAAATTATTCAATTAGAAAAACCAGGAGTTAAGTGAGTCTAGAAATTTTTCGGATTTAAACGCTGAATTGTAGTTCATTTGACTTTTGCTGGACAAATAATTTTTTTCTTTCAATGATTTAATTTTATGAAAAAATATTCAATTAGAGAGATCGACCTTAGATAAGTTTGAAGGATCAATAAGACTATTAATAATTAAATTTCTCTCGAACTTTCATTCCGCTTCGGTAAATTATATGGTTCATGTTTCCTTTTTTTTAAGTTATTGATTTCATTTTTTGTGAAATTCAGTCCAAGAGGCGGTTATTTATTCGAGATGGGCAAAGATTCACAACCAATTGATTTACATAGTCCAAAGCGAGGAATCCTGTGGATGTCTGGAGATGGAGCACATTTTCTACATAATAGTGTAAGTTTTTAAAACTGGAGATAATGATTCTTGAATTCCTGATGCTACTTAAGATTTATTGGATTTTGTGATACAGTTTGTTTTTCAGAAAAAAGAAAAGTGTGAGCAGTGTGTTGTGATGTCCGGAAAGCTAAATAATGAATCCTCTTCCGGAGGTGTGTGCCCATTGGTATCGGTGTGGAAAATTTTGGGAGGATATGGTGGTGGCGGTGCATCTTGCGGACCGGGCGGTGGTGGTGGAGCTGGCTATTATGGTATAGTTCATTTTTCGTTTTTCGCATAGAATGAAAAAAATATCTAATTAATGAAAGATAACAAAAACGTTTATGTTGCAGCGGATTAGTAAAGATCAGAAATGGGAAAGAATTTTATGACATTGTAAATTATAATATGACAAAAAAATGATGATTAATGATAATTTGACAAAAAAAATAATGATTAATGAAGTATTAATTTTAGGTGGAGAAGGTGGGCAAAAATATCATGGTACCGGCGGAAAAAGTTTTGTAAAATACAAGAGCGCCATCATTAGACCTGGTCTACTTTCATTTCTTATTATGGAACAAAAATATGTCTTAAAATTCACATTCATATATTTTGCTGTAAACCTTATAGGAATGATATAAATAAATGAAGAATAGTGTTGACCAAATTTTAAAAAAGTTGAAAATTTAATGATTGTTTAAATTTCAAAATATAATTTAAATTAATGTAAGCTATTTTGGATATTTGAAACATACGAAATTCTCAAAACTTGTATTTTTCTCTTCTTACAAATCAGGTATGAATAACGGTAACGGTTATGTACTAATTCATCCATGTCGTTTACACTGTTCAACAAATGCAACTTGTCGTTTTCGCTTGAATAATGCCGATGAAATTGTTTCCTATTGCTCTTGTCCGAATGGTCAAATAGTCGGCGAATTAGAAGATTGTATTTTTGGTAAAAATACTAATTTCTCTTTAAACATTTTTGCTAAAATTTCTGTAAAGACAAGATTATTCATTAATTAATCTATTAAATTTTATAGTGAATGATTAAAAGATAAAAAATCAATAAGCGATTGAAAAAAGTTCATTTAAAATTTTCTAATTTAGAAGACAAGAAACAAATGAATGTTCGTCGTAAAGAATCTCTTCTTGTAATGCTCGTTTTTGCATTCGTTTTATGCACTATCATTCTTCTCAGCGCATTTGGAAGTTTCTGTAAGAATTTCTACAATTAAAAATACTTTAAGAATTCTTTTAATTCGAAATTTAATGAAACTGAAAATGAAAAAAGTTTAAGAAATTTAAAAAGTAAATTATAAAAATGATATAGAAATCCTTCTGATAACTAATTTTTATCTCTAATTTATATCATACATACTTAATTTTAATTAATCAATGAAAATTTTGACAGTTTTTTTATGTTGCATATTTATAACTAAAAATTTTAAGATTAATAACAGTTAACCTATTTATTATAAATTTTAAATTTTTAGGTGTTTATTTTCGAAGACGATTAAAAAAGGCAAAAATGGAGAAAGCGGAACTTAATCGTGAAATAGGAATGTGTGCTTTACCACCCAGTACACCAATGAGCATCTCCGGAAATCCAATTTATGAACCATTTGGTCCATGCGCTGAACTTCAACCTATACCACGTGCTAATGTTACTCTGATAAGGTCAATTACATTTGACGAAAACTTTAAGTAAAGATGATTCAATGTTATGCTTTCAAAATTCAATGTTATATCTTTCAGAATTCGACAAATTTAAAGGTAAAACCAAATTACTAAATCTTTTCACTTTAATCGTTTATTTTCCAGCATTAATACTGCAAAAAATAAGGCGTAAATTGATTTTAAATTAATGAATTAGAATGAAATGATAAATAATTGTAGGCCACTTGGACAAGGAGCTTTTGGTGAGGTATATGAAGGAACATTGAATTGTGGTAGTCAATTGATTCAGGTTGCTGTGAAAACATTACCGAAATCAGCATCCAAGCAGGCGGTAAATGATTTTGAAATGGAAGCTCTTATTATGAGGTACTATTGAATTTTTTCATTTGAAACAAAATTTAAGTAAAATATTGACAGAAATGATTTCATCACATAGAAAAAGAAATTAGAGAGATTGTTCGTTGCTTTCAATAAGAATCCATTTCAAATGACCTTTGAATGGTCAGAAAAATGAGAAGTAGAAAAAATTGAAAAATATTATAAATAACAAAAATAAAAAATGAACTATAACATAATTTCATTTTCATTTAATCTCCAATATTTTATCATTAAATCATGAATTTATAAAAGTTTACTTTTTTGATTTCAAGCAAATTCCGACACGAAAACATTTGCGAGCTTATGGGAGTATGTTTTGATGTGACACCGAGACTTCTCATTCTTGAACTGCTAGCTGGCGGTGATCTGAAATCTTTCCTTCGTGAATGTAGGCCTAAAAATGTTAGTGCTATTGTGACTTCAGCACCTTCTACAATTGATTTTTAATTAATCAATTTCTGATTTCATACCTTTCCTTTTTATCATTTCCATTTTTTGCACAATCTGTTCATTTTCTTTTTTTTCATTTATTATTTTTTACCCTTTAAACTTCAACTTTTTTATCATTACAATGATGAATTCGCATTTAAGACAAAAGATCAGCAAATTCAAATGATTGATTTGCTGAATATGGCGCAAGATGTTGCAAAAGGATGTAAATTTCTCGCTGATAATCGCTTTATTCATCGCGATATTGCTGCTAGAAATTGCTTACTAACAAAGAAAGAAATGGGACGTGTCGTTAAAATCGCTGATTTCGGTATGGCAAGAGATATTTACAGGTTTGCTGATTTTCAAAAAGTTTTAAATGAAGATATTCATATTAAAAGTGTTGTCAACATTGGATAACAATTTGTTTCAAAGATATTAAATTCAAGAAACTAACTCAATTTGTCTATTTAAATAATGATTCCGATATAATATTATATTTCCATGCTTTAGTAGGAAAAAGAAATGAAATAAAAGAAATTTTGCACCAAAGCAATTCAGTAAATAATCATAGTTTCTTTAATTTAATCTGTTTAATTAAATAAATTTAAGGCAAGATTATTATCGTAAAGGTGGTAAAGCAATGTTACCAGTGAAATGGATGCCACCTGAAGCTTTTCTTGATGGTGTTTTTACAGTAAAAACTGATGTCTGGTCATTTGGTGTATTACTGTGGGAAATTTTTTCTCTTGGATATATGCCATATCCCGGAAAAAGTAATCAGGAAGTGAGTTACTTTTAGTTTTCTCTATTTTTTTAAAGATTATTTTATTTAGGGTTGAATTTGCAAATTTAACTAAATTTCTAGGTTATGTCTCTAATTGTGAATGGAGGACGATTAGAGCCACCGAACGGTATACCTGATCAAATTTACGCTTTAATGTTAGCTTGTTGGAGCACCGCCGATACTGATCGACCACATTTTGATGATATCATTGAAAATTTGAATTCTATGCGTCAAGTATAAATTGCACTTTTATTATATTCCAATAATATACCAATATTATTTCGTTATTGTTGAACCGCGCTTATCGTGAAACTTATCAGTATCAAGTTAAATTCCACATCTCAAATTCCAGTGGCAATTTATGTTTAATTTCCAAAGCGGTTGAAAATTGAACTTATTTAATTATTTTTAGAATCCACTTATGCAAAATATGCCTTTACCTGTAATCATTCACCGACTATCACAGCCACAATCTACTCCCAGTAATTCATCTTTACCGGATAGTCCCTCATCTGTTACCGAAACGATATCACAAAATACTTATTCTCAGAGTACCATTAATACAATATTGAATTCGTATACTGAAACAGTCCCATCAAATGATTGTGATCCGTTACCCACAAAAGGTTTGTTGTGAATTTTAATTATTGGTTCGTTATTGAAAAACAAATTTACAATAAATTTCTAAAATATTGTCACATAATTTCTTTATAATTCTTTTTAAAAAAAGATTTAAAATTTTGTTATGAATTAATGAAATTTGTTTGGGTGATGGAATTAATTTCAACGTGTGTACTCCTTATCAACCACAATCATCCGAGCCATTTTGTGTCCTCGATGGAACTCAATCTATGTCACTGCCCCTTTGGGCTACCTGTAAGTTACCAAGTGGAAGCACAGAAACGTGTACCAGTGATAGTGGCGAGCCAGTAAGTAATTGCAATGGTCATCCTTTATCTACCACAGCATTACATGACGCCGTAGCCGGATCTCGTAAACCTGTAGTTGATACGGTTAGTTCTCGGATTTTCCGCTTTTATACTTAACTTCTCAAACTTCTGCGTGCTGTAATTGCAAATTCACTCTGATCAATTATGATCAGTTAAGAGTAAATTAATAAACATATTCAGAGGTTATGTTTAATCTTCGAAATAATAAAAATAATTTTCATTTTAAATGCTTAGTTCTGGAAATACTTATTCACTAGAATTTTTAAAAAACTTCTGAAGTGCCTAATCTCATAATGTCTTCAATGTTGGAAAGACTATGCATGCCACACATATGCAAAATATCTTGAAAATTTTAAACTCACTGAATGAACAATTATCATTATCATTACTTCGAAAAATTACTTTAAAATTTATTGTATTAATCAAAGTTCGCAGGAACGTAAAATTTAACAAAGTTCTTAATCGTTAGACATTTTAAACGGATGAAATATTTGTAATATACCAGGATTCTCGCAATAATCGATTGGCTGATAGCGATTATGCGAATGCAATACGTATGGAAACAGTATCACTACTGGAAAGACGATATCCACCACCAATAGAGTTGCGAGTACCACCATCTATAGTCAATGATTTCTTATCTCCTAGGATGATAAGCTCTTTAAGGTTATCAAATCAATCAAATGACCAGTCATTACATCAGAATTATATGAATCAAAGCCAAATTTTATAAACATTAGCTATGATTATCGATTAAAAATATCTTCTTAAGGCATTTATTTCTTTTAGCATTTCAGAAAGTTCAAAATTGTTAAAATTAAAAAAATTTAATTCTAAAAAGTTATAATTCTCTAGTCATTAAAAAAGAATTTCTGATGTATATTGAAAATGCTAGTCCATGCTAATCTATTCCCAAAATCTGAATATAAAATGTAAATAAATAAATAAATAAATAAATAAATAAATATATATATATATATTTTTATCGCTTATTATTTGAATTATTGTTGAATATTGTGTTGTTTGATTGATTGATTGATTATCTGTGATACGGTCATTACCGTAAACATTCTCATTTTTATTTTATATAAAATTCAAAATTCCAATTAAAGTTTTAAGAAAGAACACACTTTCGCCAATTTTTGTTTCAAACTTGCTAATCGTACTTTTGATTTCAAAGTTTGATTTATTCTAAAATTTTAATTATCGAAATTTATAATATTTTTTTTGCCTTTCATATTTCTTACTGTAACAATATATCTTATGCAAATTATTTGATCTCTTTCTTTACATTTCTTTCTGTAATGGACAGATTTTTGTCACTAAAATAAATAATAAAAATTCTGATCAAACCACAAAGCTCAGATTTATCTTCAATTTCTTGATGGCTCTCTCCTCTGTTCTTCTAATTCACAAAAATGCTGTCAAGTACTACAGAAATGTTGTGAAAATAATGACTACTATCAAATAGTTGAATGAAAAATTAAAAACAAGTAAGATTAGTATAGAAGTAATCAATTAAGAATAACAAAGATAGGTGATTTGAATAGCGTTCGAGAGAGAAAAGAAGCATTTTTAGCAAAGACTTAAAAAACTATGGAAGTAAAATTTTCGGCAGATTCGATAAGTAATCATATATAATGTCCATCCATCATTGATGAATTTTTTTTAATGATACTAATAAATACATTCAAATGTAATTTTCGTTTAAATTTATTTGTTAGTACCATTCAGTGAGAAAAATCAGAATGATATTTTAATTTGAAAACAGCAATATTCAGAGTGTTTTAATGATAATATGCATATTTGATTTGAAATTTATTAGAATGCTTCATGTAAAATTTGCAGATTTTCAAGAAGATATATTAATTAATTAGACATTTAAATGGTTGAAGATATGTGAGTTAACGTTTTCGAGGTTTCTGTGAACTCTTCTTTCCAGATTTTAATTTCGGTTTCTTCGGTTGCAATAAATAGGAACTTTCGTTAGCATTGATGTTAGATGTGTAATAGCAACTTTTCGTATTTCGTGAAGATACTTCTGCTAAAATTTTGATAAATTTATAAACAAATTATATTTATAAGACCAGCATAACTTCCAAAAATTTCAATCTTCTGTTTAATTCAGTTAAGTAAATTAATAAAACTTAATTCAGTCAATTCAGTTAGGTAAAGCAAATTAAACAGTTAAGTAAATCAAATTCAGTTAAATAAATAATCTTACCGAAATAATGCTGCTAATTATATTAGCAGCATTATTTCGGATATCTGAATCTTAGTGAACTTGATAACTTATTGGCAATTATTTATAAAATTTATTACATAACTGGTAAATTCTCAAGGTCTTTGTTTAAACATTGCCGAAAATGACGCACCAATTGAGTAAACTTAGCTAACTAACTAATTACTAAATAAAATTAATCAATTCCATCTCACTTATTATCTTCATGATGGATCGACTAATCTGATCATTTTATATCTTATCACTCATCCCCCCTCCCTCTCCCGAAATTATTCTGACATACATGCAGGACCACTTGCGCTTGGCATCATAAATACGGATCGTTGTTGGTCATCAGTTTTCGGTACCAAATCGTATTCCTTCTTTTCTCGCCTAATCGATTTTTGTGATCGTTGACTGGCTTCTTTTTCTCTTTCAGATTTTACATCGAAAATCTTGGACTCGCATGCACCTGCTCGTACCATTTCATCTTCTTCACCTTTCAACCAATCCAATTTTTCAGACTGTAACAAACATTATATTCCCAATTCATTGCTTGCAGGCATCAGAATTTATTTTAAATGATGAAGCAATGAGATGTGACATCTAAATTCATTCTAGTATATAAAATGCTACCGAAAAGTACAAAATGCAGATTTGTAGGAATGTTAATAATAAAGTACTAAATATTAATAAGATATAATGAAATTAATTAAATTTAAGAAACTACTGCAAATTAATTAACAAATTCTATAAAATAATTTGAAACAATTGATTTTTTTGATTTCAATTTCGAAATTTCAATCAAAATTTGATTTAAATCTACTTATTTCAGTGATGTTTTAAAAAAATTTGTTTATTTATTATTAATCATATTTGATGAATTATCAAAATTAGGAGAAGTAATGAAATGTAATAATTATTACTAATTTAAATATTACAAACATATACATTAAAAGTAAAAGCTATTAGGTAAGATAAAATGTAACGTATTATATCCGGAAAAATAAATACAAAAAACCTTGTAATTGCCGCTTACAATAGCATTTCGGAAAATATTTTTGATTAAATGATAATCCGGTACTGTATCATATTGAAAGCTATTTATTTGGCGTACGAGTGTATTTACACCGGCTGGCATTCCTTTGCATTTTTTAAATATTTTGAGATAATCTGAAAAATGCAAAATGAGTTAAAAGTGAAAAATTTTCAAAGCATAATATAAAATAGGGAGAAATAATACAAGCATTTAATTAATTAAATCATATTCAATCCCTTGCAACGATTTTTCTTTTCTTTATTGAATTGAATAGTACGAAATGAACTATCCAAAATCTATTGCAACCTAAATTACCTACAAAAAAAAGCTAAAGTTTTTTTTAGTGAAAATTTTATGTAATTCTAGATTTTCCATAATGTATATAACTATATTCAACCGTTGTAAATAAATTGATATATGAAGATATGCAAAAGAATCCAGAAATCGTTGCTATAAATGTGTAGAAGTTGAAGTTGCGTAATGTTCATTTTACTTCATATGTAATAATATCACGTACAAATTCATGAAAAAAAGAAAGCATGGAAACTGAAATTATCAAATATTATTGTTTTTACCTTTATCCATAAATGCTTCTTTTTTTTGCAACACAATCTTATGATTCTTTTCATCTTCCCATGGCAATGATGATGTTGTCAAGAAGAATTCAACAATCATATAAAGCCAACTTTCCAAGTCATCTTTACGTGAACGTTCCAATGATTTATGTGAACTTCTTGACATATAACGAATATTGCCCATTTGATGTACTTTACTGCGTTTTTTCCTAAATCTAACAAATGATTAAACGCTAAAGAAAGCATGAAGTAATAATTAATAATTAAAGAAGTGAAATTAAAAAAATTCGATTGAATTTAAAAGAATATGAGAATATATTCTCATTTATTAAAATATTATTTAATCACAGAAATTAAAATAAATGATAAGGCAAAATTCTCTGTAAGTCTCCGATTTTTATGAATATTATAATTTATTTATTATACATTCGTCGTTTTGTAATTAAAATATAAAATGAAATCGTTTGTCAATGAATTGGATTTACATAAAATTTTCCATACACTTTTGTATTTTTATCAGTTTTATAACGTCGTGCAAGGCCAAATCCAAAAAGGAATAATTGGCTTCTTTCTGCTCCTAATCCAATCGCATAAACGGCTGGCTTTATATCTTTTGAAAAGAAAAAATGAATTCAATAAAATGCTAATTAAATTTTCCTTTCTTTTAAAATCAATTAAATTTTCAATTTTGTTATATAAAAATGTAATGGCGAAAAAAGGAAAAGAAAGAAAGAGAAATAATATATAAACTTAATTGAAATCACTATTCTACCTCGATGAATAAATCCAACTTTATGAATTTGTTCGATACACTCAATGGCCAAATATGAAAGCTTTAGGTTCGTGGAAGTGGAAAATTCACCGAACCTATCACGAAGATCACTGATCGTTTCACCAAACTGTAGATTGTTTTTGCTCATTACAATAACAAATCAATCGGTTCTACGTTTGGATAATTTCAATTTATTATAAGAAGAAAGATCTTTATTCTTAAATTACTATTTGTCCACAGATGATTTCGTACTTTGATCAAATAAAAGTTCAAATTTTAAATCGAGTCTAAAGGAAGATTATTGAAAATCAAGTCAAGAATATCGTAGCACATCAAGTTCAAAAAAATTAAAAGTTGGCAAAAATTAAAATCAGCAGTAACTGAAGCGTTTCTTAACATCACTCTTAATTTTAATTTTAATTCAGAGACTTGATTTATTACGAACATATTAGTGCTTTCCAAAGTAAATTAATTAAAAGTGTTACAAAATATGAATTATTAAAACTAAATCGATTTTTTGACATATTGCTGACAGTTTTTGTGGAATTCAACGTATTACTTCAAAGTGATGTTGGTAAAAACCTAATAATTTAACGTTCATGTTTAGTATCATTTTAACTATCATTTGCCATTTTGAAGCAGTTAATGAAGGTAACTTACCATTTTTATCATAAAATATTGTATATTGACTTTTGCATTTTTCCCTTGCGAAATTAAAGAAGCAATATGTGTTAGCTTTCTAATTTTTGCGCTACTTTTCAGTACATCTATTTCCACCTATAATTTACACTAATTTTATTACAGGTTTAAAATTAATAAGTCTGAAAGCATTCTTCTGACATTCAAGTTTTTAGTATTTTAAAATATCATTTCATATCATTCAATTTTCATTTCGTACCTATACAACTTATCTAAGATCACTAAAACTAAATAATTTACAAAGACACTACAACACAATACAATAATTAACAATGATATAAATGAAATAGATATTTATTATTACGTAATCTATGATATGTTTTTGCTTCTTATCGAAATAGCAATTCACAGATATATTTATATTACGAATAAAAGTCGGAACATTAATTTAAATACGGCAAAATTTTCTAATTATTGAGTTAAGGAAATGGATGTTAATAAATTCATTTAAACCTGTAGGCGTTTGATTTTGCAATTTTGTAATTCATAATGTAAAGCAAACAATGCCTTTGAATTTCCTTTTTCCTTTAGACCAACAATACCATAATCACCTTTTATTGGTCCATCTATAGTGTAACTGAAATTCTTTTGAAGTTAAAATTAAAATTCACTCATTTTTGATCTATTTTATTGAGAATTAATCCAGTTGAATAAGATTTTCGAGTATCCATCACACTGATAGTCTTTATAAAAAAAGTCTGCAAAAGTTAGTGAAAATTTTGCCTAACTTTCAGACCATTTAAAAGTAAGTATGACTACGTCAGCTTTTTCCGTTGTACAATTCACTACTAATCAATCCTTTAAGGATTAACATGTTTGGCTCGTTTTCGATCATGTATGATCATGGTTTCAAATTTTTCCACTTACTAGAATATGAGACTCAAAAAAATACCGTTTTTTATCAATTTCAATTATTTCCCCACTCTTCAAGAAGGTTTTTGTCTTTACGTCTACTGGCAGTTCTGCTTCAATTCCGGATTGCTCATTTTCCTGAACGAAAAAGTGAAAAATTTATGCCAATCAAGAATGCCTTTTTGTATTAATAGAAAGCAAAAAATGAATTGCCATCACCGCCATTTTTCCGTTATTATCTGATTAAATTTAAATTATGTGAACAGAAAACGAAAATTATTTTCACTGAAAACTGTAGCGACTTCAGAAGAGATGGATTTATTTTCAACGGTTCGTTTGCTTGCGACATTCGTAATTGAATCAGTTTTTCCTACCAAACTTGTCGATTCATCGCTGTTTCTCATTTTTTCAGCTATTTTCTGAAAATAAAACTGAGATATGAAATTCGTCCAAGTCATTTTTGCAGTATATAATACCTACAATCCAATTCTATTTTAGCATATCTTGAATGAAGGCAATTTCAATAGCTACTGTATTTAGTAGTATGCACATTGCTGTTGCTAAAGATTAATTAGGATTAACATTAATTACGACTAATTTGGATTAATTATCATAGTATTAGCAATAACAATACGCATATTACTATACTACTCATTTATATTTCTTCGAAATTCAATTTAATACCTTTTCTTGTACATTTCCTAAGTGTTGCAATCCTCTGAGCGATGTTTTCCAAAATTTTAAATTTTGTTTTAATGATATGCTCATTCAATTGCGTTAAAATTGTGAGGAAAGTAAAAGAGGACCTTATTTTTTGATTTCATTTTATTGTCAGACGATTATGCACAAAGCCATCAGCAGTGATAGGAAAATGTTGAATTGTCACTTTAGAATTAAGTCAACGATCGAAATATCTAAATTTTCTATTAACTAATTAATTAAATGGAGTGTCGCGAATCTTCTCAGCATTAATTAATTAAATGCTGCGTCAAGAAACCCGTATATTTACCAAATTTTAATCAATCATTTTATTAAATTTCATCTTTTCCTTAGAGGATTTTTTAAAAGACTAACATTTCCATAATCAAGGATAACCAATTTCTTGACTGTAAACCCAATGAACACGAAAGGCCTAACTAAAACCCACCAGCAGAACTGCCCAGCGCAACTGAGTAATCAACTAGAGAATATTATCAACTTCGCCATCAACCTTTCTCGCCCATTTATAAGTATGAAATCGCTGAGTACGAGATTTGCATAGGAAGGAATGAAAATATGCAACAATAAGCAAAAGTTTTTATAACTTTAGAATTATTTCATGGTGAAATTTAACAAATTCACTCTTTCTGAGAGATGAACATTCCTCCTAGCCTATCTTGTTCTTTCGAGCCTCAACCAGAAGTCTCAAGCAAAAGGCATAACGTATATCAGTTGGGATAAAAATTTGCATGCAGGAAATATCAAACGAGCGATTGATGGAAAATATGAGGCAAAGCGGGAGGAATGGGCGGGTATGAATTGGTTCTGTTATTTTATTTCAGGCTAGAATTACGCCTGCGGAATATTTGTTGGTAGTTTCTTTACATTTTGAGTGAATGATTCTAAATTAGCTGCTCCCTCTGCCGCTTCTCTCCCTTTTTCATAAAGAAAACGGAAATTTGTCCTTGTACATATTGATCCTTCATCATTCCATTCAGCATTTCTCCTCCCTCGGATGCGATTGTCATTTACAGGAGGAGAGATGATAGGCTTTTGAGCTCAAAAGTGAACCGATCTGATGGAATAGAGGGGGCGGAATGATGTAGAAAACTTAGAGTATAGGACTTTGTGCTTGCAGATATGTGATGAATAAACAGCGGAGAATGATAAAAAATGCGAGAAATAACGAAATGATCAGATGGAGTATGGAGTTAGCGGCATAAAGCGGATATGCATACGTAGAAAAAGATTACATCGTAATCTGTGGTATTGCGTCAGAGAATGGCGCGATTCTCTTCGCTTTTTTTTCGAAGTATAGTAAGTATTCGGCCTGTTACGTAACGTTGTGGTTTGAAATCTCTTAAGTTCTTGCTGAGTTGCGACTAAAATGGAGCAGTTTGTATGCCAGAAAGGAAGAGTTGATGTGGTTTGATAGAAATTTTAACTGTAGATGTCTTAGCTTCTATTTTCTCTCGATATTTCTAAAATGGTCAAGGCATTCCGATGTTCAAGCACAGACCCATATTACCTCCAATACATACCCTCACAATTTTCTTTGAAAGAAGGCAGCAATTGCCAAAAATTATCTTATTTTTATCCAAGAAACAATCGCCTTATATTTCTAATTCTGTTATATTTGGTAATTTTCGTGAAATTTTAGGAAGAATGAATGATCGGAAGTATTTGTTACGAAAAGGACAACCATCTTCGCAGTCAAATGATGCGAATATCTTTTCATCTTCAAGTCAATGTTCACTTACTTTTAAAAAGTGAGTTTTATTCTCCCTTCATTTTCTAATTAGGACTTAAGTTGTGTGGTGCCACAAACCCATTATATTTCCTATATTAACCATGTATTTTATGATTGTCATTGCTGTAAAGAATTTTAAGTTGAAAAATTCTACCCTTATTTTTACCAATTCCTTTGTTTTTTTTTTTTATCTAGCTAATATCTTCCTTTCTTTTTTATTCAGCTACATATATTTTACATATTCCCATTAATTTTACGTGTCCATATTACATTTGTTGTGAATTAAACTGAACTGTCTAGGTTTTTCCTTTTCAGAAATAGCTTTGATCCAGAAAAACCAGTCCATGTTGCGCAGAATTCACTGTTCAGTGGGAATTCCGGATGGAAGGATTACCGAGGACTTTTCAATCTTGCAGTTCTTCTGCTATTCGTATCAAATGGCCGTCTTGCTCTTGAAAACCTCATGAAGCAAGTGATAGAGTAGCCTAATATTTACCGTTCATAACTGTTCAACTTTTCTCATTTGGCAATTTGTAGATATGGAGTGCTGATATCACCAACTAGTTGGATTTACTTCATTTTAACGGATCCGTGGTGGAAATGGCCTAATCTGGCATTGGTGATAATGTCGAACATATCCATTTTCATTGTCTTTGTTGTGGAAAAATTGATAGGTATGTTAAATAGTGGAACGAACTCAAAGTTTTGGTTTACAGTCGCTTGGAAAGTTTCATAAATTGGGCCTTCTGTTTTTTTATCAAATCGAAAACTGTTAAGACTCGATTTTCTTAGTTCTGTGAAGAATTTATTGAAGCTACTTTTTTCAAGCGTGGAAGTGGCTTAGCAGTCAGTCGGCTTTCGCTTTCTACTTGTGTATATTCTCATTGCATATATTTCTACCTGCTGCAGTTACTTGGATTTTGCAGGTAGCTTTGGAATTAGTAGGCACAATCTGTTTTTCATCCCAATTTGTAGCTATAGTTATAGTTAGGTTTATGTGATAGAAACTCGCATGCTTTAATTCGATATCATCCTTGATCTGTTTTCAGAGTTATCCATTATATTCATTGTTTTCACTGTCGGTGTATGTAATACTTTTTCTGAAGCTCACCTCATATGCTCATACAAACTACTGGTATAGGTGTATGAATACGAAGAACAGAAATCTTAAGGTGAAACAAGAATTTTTTTTTAATCATGTGAAGTGATGCTTTCTAAATAATACTGCATATACTTACAAGTTTGACTCTTTTTAGTCATAATTATTTCATTAATTTAATGCAATTTGTAGCTACAGTTATAGTTACTTTTATGAATGTAGAAATTTAAATTCTAATTACTTCACTACGTCATTCCACCTCATTTTTTTAGGTTACATTACTCATACTGTTTGAAAGTGCATCCTGATCTGATAGATTTTAAACGTAGTTTACATACTAACAGCTAATGAAAGATGAACTTCTCACAAAAAGCTTTCAATGTCGTCTAAAGCGTGCAGTGACTACCAAGACTAGCCGGTGACTATTTTTTTCAGTCGTTATTCTATTTTTTGGCTTTCTACCTCTTATTTTTCTTAATTCTATTTATATATGTACTACTTAGCGTATTACTTGTCCAGTCTCTTTCAAATGACTTAAGTTTTAACAGTTGTTCAATCATGTTTATGCCAAATCAATCCCGATCTTACATTACTGTTTTATAAATCCCGTTAGTTTTTCCGGAACTATTATGAAAGATGACAAAAGTTTTATAATGGCAATCCTCATCAAATAATTTCAAAAATTGTTGACAAGATCAATAAGTGAATGTAAACGGGGTAGAATGGATCTTAGGAAGCATTTCTTTGTGTTAATATGGCCATACTTATATAGTTACAACTCCTTATCTTAAAAAAAAAACATTCACTCTCTTTTTGTTTATGAAATTTTACATTTTTATCCTTGTGTGCACTGTTTTTGTAATTATTGCCTATTCCTTATGGCACGGCTCATTGATTTCCTATCTTTTACCGGACTCGCTTTGCTATCAGTTTCCTCCTTTGTTTTGTTCACATTTTTTTTTTAAAGTGAAATATACTGTGCAAAATGCATAATGTGCATATTTTTTCTCTGAAATATTTCTCAGTTCCTAATTATTTCCATTTTTTGTTTTTTGAAATAATTCAAAGGTTATTTTTCTTTAAAATTTTTTTCCCACTCAGAGGGAGTTTCGGAAGTAACCATCCCCAATCAAAATTTCGAAGTTTAATTTTGCAGAAAAAAGCTCAGCTAACATATCCACACAATTTAACACTACAAAATTTATACTACTTCATATTTGCTCCAACTTTATGCTACGAATTGCAATTTCCACGAACAAATGGACGAAGAAAGTCATTCATTGTGAAACGAACTGCTGAGGTCTAGTTTTTCACTTTTTTGCCTACTTTAAAGAACTTGATTTCTTAACCTCTAAAATCACGTGTTAAAGAAAGTTATTCTGATTTAAAAATGGCTTAGTAGCATTGAAATTAATCTTATTTCCATCTCTTTAATTTAATTTGTATAATATACGTTTATATTTCAGTTTGGTTGTCTGACACTGATCATAATAGCGTTATGCCAACAATGGATAGCGCCTCTATTACGTAATAGCGTGGAGCCATTTACAACGATGAATTTTAGCTTGTGCATCGAAAGAGTTCTTAAATTGGCTGTGCCAAATCATATAATTTGGCTCATTTCATTCTATACTACTTTCCATTCTCTGCTCAATCTTATTGCTGAATTAATGGAATTCGCCGATAGACAATTCTATTTGTGAGTTAGAAAGGATATCTAAATTATGCAGTTGTAATTCTTTCCGAGATTATTAGCGTTGCTGAGCTTCATCAAACTATGTTAGGAAGTTTTGATTCTCGCTAGGTAACAAGCAAAAATGCACATATTGTCTCCAAAATTCTATAATGAGGTTCGCAGTGAGGGTCAGGACTACTGGATTAAGCATTACATATTGTTTATTGTAGTATGTCTTCGTTTTTTGCTGGTTAAGTCTCGTTATTCTAATAAGTGCAATTATTGGAATGATAGTTCTCTTTACTTTTCGTACTTCTTATTAAGAGATCATGAACCCCTAAATCTATAGCAACGTTGAGTATTATAATATTGAGGGAATGATGACTTCTTCAGAGATTTCTGGAATGCAGAAACTTTGGCATTATTTTGGAAGACATGGAATATACCGGTTCATCGCTGGGCTCTTCGACATATTTATCGACCAATGGTATTTAACGGTTTTAGTAAGATGAATGCTGCTTGCGCCGTTTTCTTCGTATCTGCATTTTTTCATGAGTATCTCGTTAGTAATATTTCTTATCCATAAAATCTTAAGAATCTCATAATCTTATAATGTAGAATTAACAACCAGGAGTTAAGATATTAATATAATGAGATATTTGAACATCGAAAATATATTACTGATGAAATTGTCTTGAATCACTGATACAGTAGTTGTACATATTATTTTTATTGCTAATGAATTGAGTAACGCAAATTTGAATGAAATTCATAATTTTAAATTGAAGATTAAAGTGGTGTGATGTCTTTTATTTGACTGGTTTTTTGGTCAACCATGTACTAAGTGATTATAGCAGGAGTAATCATTTATTATTTGATCTTCCATTTGCTTTTGTTGAGTACCACCATCTAAATAGCCCTTGTTAAAAATCGATTGGAAGTAGAGACTAATGAGATACTCACTGGATTTGAAATCGCGGCCAGTTTCGCATTTAAACTAGCATATATTCATTTTTTTCATATACTGTAACTTTTCCTCGATTTAAAAAAAATTTATTTCGTTGGTAACTAGTTCGTCACTTTCGACTTTTTCGGAGAGAGAATAAGTGAAAAGTGACAGTTTTTGATTACTATGCGGGTATCTCTTTGTCTGTGTTTGGAGTTCTAAAAGCTAGGTCATAGTGAAAGCATTAAGATAAACAATTGATTATTTGCATTGTCTTCATTTTCCAAACATTTGCACATGATTAATTCTGGTTCTTTTGAAGCATAGATTAACCCTTCTCTGATAATTGACCAAATTAGTGAACTGGTTATTTTGCTTAAAAACTAAAAATTTATAACCAATATTAATAAATTAACTTAGAAAAATTAAAAATTAAAAATTAATTAACTCAGAAAAATTAGACAAAGAAAGTGGATTAAAATAATCCCTACTTTTTTCAGGTATCAGTTCCACTTCATATGTTTCGTTTTTGGGCATATCTCTGTATGATGGCACAAATACCTCTCAGTATTTTTACCGAAAAAGTGCTGAAAGGTGGTCGTCTTGGAAACATCGTTATGTGGTTATCGTTAATTCTTGGTCAGCCTTTGGCCATTTTGATGTATGTACATGATTGGTATGTTGCACAGTATCCTCATTCATCGAATTATGTCAATACAACCACACAGTTTTAATGCTTACAAGTGGATAATGGTAAATGAACTCTTAATGTCGTGCCCATTAGTCACTATTATTTTATTAGATAGTGTAATATAACTTACTACTTGTAATGCATATTAGATATGAAATTCATTCATATCCCACTGTTTTCAATTACTTCTGTTAAGCATTGCTGATTTGTACTGTTTCCACTTTTTGATAACAAATAAACGAAGGCATTTGTTTATTCTACTGATGAATGAATTCCTGCTTTTCTTTTGAGAGAGAGAGAATTTCGTTATTTCTGTAAGCTATTTTTGTTTTCAAATGAGGGATGATAATCCGTAGAATTCCATGTGACAAGAAGTTGAGCAGATAGAGGTTTGTGTCGATAATTCATACAACTGAGTTGTTTCTTAAATTTAGCTTTTTGAATTTAAATCAGCGTTTTGAATGATCTTACTAGGGAAGAGTACAGGAAATTTTTCGATAAACGGCTATGTGGTTTGGAAGCATTTATGAATTAAGCTTTATAGGCTGTAGTTTGTCGTTTTGTGTTACTGTATTTTTGTACGATTATTACATCTTTTCACTTTTTTCATCCGCTCTTAGTTTACGTTACCTACTGATTATTTTGAATGAAAAGTGCTCACGAAGTGATTATGTCACCATTTATGTTTTTATACGTCGTGTTTCTCTCTTATGCTTTAATCTTTTGAATTTATTATTTTCTAAACATGCATTTCGAAAATTTTGAGAATGTATTATACTATAATATCATCATTAATTACTCAATTTTTCATCATTAATTACTCAATAAACTCACACTTCACTTTTATTCCTGTTTTTTTTATTAGTAGATTTTCTACACTAAATTATATTTGAGACCTATGATCATTCTAGAAACTGTCATATTTTTCGGTTCTCATTAGTGACGCAGTTTATTGGTCAAGATGACAACTTTTCAAAAATTTTCCTCCACTTCTGAAATTTTTATCAAATCAATGCAATGATTTTGAACTTTGAAGTGCAATTCAATATGTCGCAAGACAATTTTCATTGTTGCGTTATCAATGAAGATGCAGGGCGATGGTTCGTTTACTTCGACAAATCCCGTTCAATGTTGGTTGTCACTGATAGCATGGTAAATTTTCAACTGATAAATATGAGGAGCTATTTCATACTTAGGACTTCCATATTTCAAGAAAAATTCTACTGTTATTATCCAAATTTCTAGTTTAAGTTCACCGAAATTAATACGAGACTCCGAATAACTTTTAAATATTGTTATGATTTTTTTCTGAAACCTGATGAAGATCCATATGTTTGTCATCTTGTATGATAAGGAGCATAAAATTTTTTCTTCTGCAAGCTGATCTTTTTCTAGGCGTCAACCTATGAAAAGACAATGACGACTAAAGACCGAATCGAATTTGCTGGAAATGTTTCGGAATCACTTCTCGAACAGTCTTGGCAGTAAGTGTTGAATGAAATATATTTATTGGGTTGATTGATTAAAAAAATATATTTATTAATTGGATCAAAATTTGCAATCTCTTGCTCGTGTTAACTTGTTGTATCCTCCTCAAATGAGTTTTCATAATGACTTTCAATTTATAAAAAACTCCAGTACCGTATCACACTGTTTTGCAATGTAAGCAACATGCAAAAAATTAAGTAAAAATGTAGTTTAGGATAGTCATCAAGTGAATTTATTGACATCTGAAATAGAACGTGGTGTATTGAGTGGTTCACCAAATTGCCATGAATGATTATTGCAAAAAGAATCACGAGATTCGGGATGTTTTTGATATCTGATTTATGTTCGTTGGTCGTTAATTTCTTTATTTGGCTGAGGTGGCACTATTAGAGTATGTCCGCGACAGTGTTCAACCTATAAAGACTTTTTCGAGGACAAATTAGAAATTGTTCAAAAAGACTAGTCAGTGCACTATGTCGATTAATTTTTCATGAGGAATAATATAAATTTCGATCATTCATATATTCTAGATCAATTGAAAGAATATCCGCATGAAACCTGGAACTTTTCATCAATAACTCCATTTAGATGATATAAATCTAGTGCCCCTTCTTTTTTCTCTTGAACTTTCGGTTTTCTCTTCAAATCATGTAATCCGATATTTGCATACTTCGCATTCATCCTGTTCCCAGGTGGTCGAATCATCCCAAACACGTGGCTTCACCCATATGCAGCAACAGTTGCTCTTCCGCCTACCCAGATGCTCGTTATCGATAGTGCCTTCGGCCCAAGTAACATGTGGCCGTTCGGTTTCACATTGTGTTAGGTGTAGAATCAAAGGTACTAAAAGCAGTTCTGGACGTTTTATGATTATGTTTCGCTCATTGATCCCTTTCACCCGTTCAAATGAAAGAGATAGAAGATGTAGTCTAATTGTTTGTTTGAACCATTCACATTTTAATGGAATGTCGAATAACTTGGTGAAATCCGTTTAAACAACCGTGAAGCATTCAACATGAATGCTTTAAAATGATTGTCACGGTTGTTTAAACGGGATTTCACCAAGTTCGTTGGGAACTGCCAATTAATTTTTTGCTATACACATGAATACAACGATAAAGTTAGATTTAGAGAAAGCTTTTAATTTATAAATGTATTATGGCGATCGTTATGATTTTATGAACATATTTATTTACTAAAATTAGGTCGAAGGTATATACTAAAGTAGATCAAAAGTTAGGGAATACTTGGTTTGGAACTGCCAATTAATTTTTGCTATACACATGAATACCACACATGATGAATAATTAGATATTAGTGATGGTTTCTTAACCTTTGTCAGTTCTTGCGGCATGGTGCTCTTCTTCAAAAATGGTTTCCAAACTTCTTAATGCAATCCCCGTCACCGAACATTCATTCGACATTTTTTCCGCACAGACCTTAATGACACCGCAAGCCTTGGACGATTTTATTACAATGATTTGTCATGCCGTGAAACACATTTAAGTAACCAACGGGTATTTGTTTGCATATTAATATATACTAAATTGATTATTTATTCAAAAAGAAAGTTTCCCCAATCCGCTATGGCCATGAAAAAAAGCATTGGACTAGCTTAATCTCCCACAGATCTTGTAATGAATATTATAAAGATCTAAGCCATCAGCTCCAAGCTAAGTCTCATTTGCTTTTTAAATATTCTTTGGCGTGCCTCTGAGCTAATCTGTCTTTTTTTAGTTTTTACTTATTTTTATGTCATACAGAAGCTAGTATTAGAGTAGCAGGTTTGCATAAGTTCAGATAGCATTGGACCAATAAATTAATCAGTAAATGCAAAAATCCAGTCGCAAGAGCTAATTTTATATTGCGAGAATATATACGAGACTATATATAGAGATTTTGGAAACTTTTACTTAACTTTAGATTTGAAATGTGAGTACTTCTGTCATTTAATATGCAGTTTTTGATTTTATATAGAGTGCTCCTTATGAATTTTAGCAATATACAATAGTTATATTTAATACAGCTTTTTTCAATACTTGTTAAGATTTGGATTAGTTCAGTGCATTATTTCTGCTGTATGATACATTCAAGATTTTCAGTCATGCAAGTTTTTGAATTTTTCAGAGAAATGATACTTAGGAGAACGCTGAAAGTATCTGAGGTAACCGATGATAAACTAATTCTAGTGCATGTTGTCCATAGGATCGAATTGAACCGTGTTAACGGAACGAACATACAATTGAGAACTGTTGATTTATTGGAGAAGGCTGTCAATGCCTATTTATATTTGGTAAGTTTTATATTTACCTTTATGTTCACTGTGGTTAAATTCCGATTCCTTCATTTATCCTTTAAAAAACTCCATACTTACATTTCTACTTTTGTTTGGAGTTTTCTACCTTTGAAATTTCTACTTTTGTTAATGTCTCTCATGTATTGTTAATTTTAAATAAAAATCTTTCGATTTTTTCGGAAAAATTCGGTGCATAACTTAATTTGAAATGAAGTTATTACTTTGGATTCGTAATCTTTCAAAATTGTTAACAACACTGATAAATTTGTAAGGAAAATTCCCTTTAATTAGGAAAATAAGACTAAATATTTTAATATATTTTTATGTTGGGGTGTCGGAGTGTTTTTAGAGTTTGTTTAGCAGACTTATTGCAGCTTGAACGTCAGATAAGGAGTAGAGCAGATGTTGAACAAATGGCTGCCCGAAAAACAATGCGAAATCAATCGGATCAGAGAAGGGCAAGTATTTTTGTTTAAATCTACTAGAAATTTGTTTTAGCACAGATGAAATAAGGACGCATGGTCAGTATCGTCAAGAAGTCAACTGAATAATAGAGTAGCATAGTGTATTGTGCACTAAGCATCTAAGGAACAGAATGGAATAATGCTGAAAGGGGGAATGTCAAATAAGAAATGGAATAAGATAGTGTATTGTAGCCTGAATATCAGTTAAGAAATAGAACAGATGATGAGCCAATGACTGCTCGAAAAACAATACGAAATCAATCAGATCAGAGAAGGGCAAGTGCTTTTGATTAAATTTAGTAAAAACTCGCTTCAAAATGTCTGAACGTCAACTAAGGTATAGAACAAGATATATATTGTGACTTAAATATCTATGAAGGAATAGAATAGAGTGATGTATTGTAGTCTGAACGTCAAATAAGAAATAGAATAAGATAGTGTATTGTAGCCTGAATATCAGTTAAGAAATAGAACAGATGATGAGCTAATGACTGCTCGAAAAACAATACGAAATCAATCAGATCAGAGAAGGGCAAGTGCTTTTGATTAAATTTAGTAAAACTCGTTTCAAAATGTCTGAACGTCAACTAAGGAATATAATAAGATATATATTATGACTTAAATGTCAATCAAGGAATAGAATAGAGTGATATATTGTAGTTTGAACATCGAATAAGAAATAGGATAAGATAGAATATTGTAGCCTGAATATCAGTTAAGAAATAGAACAGATGATGAACCAATGACTGCTCGAAAAACAATACCAAATCAATCAGATCAGAGAAGGGCAAGTGCTTTTGTTTGAATTTAGTAAAAACTGGCTTTTGAATGTTTTCTATTACTTCAATTAAGGAATAGAATGGGATAGTGTATTATGGTTTTAACGTCAACCGAAGAATAGAATACAATAATGCATTGTAATCTGGTGTTAACTAAGAAATAGAGTAGGATAGTATATTGTAGCCTAAACATCAATTAAGGAATAGAATAAGTGACGAGCCAATGGCTACTCGGAAAACAATGCGAAGTCAGTCAGATCAGACAAAGGCAAGTATTTTTCTTAAAATTTAGTAGAAACTTGTTTTAGAAGGACAAAATGGGAAGGTATAATGTACTGTAGCCCAACATCAACTAGAAGATAGAATAGTGTAGCGTATTTTAGCCAAAGAATAGAACAGTAAAAATAGTATGGTGTATTGTAGCCTAGACGTCAACTAAGGAATAGGATAAGTGATGAGCCGATGTCTTCTCGGCAGACAGTGCGAAGTCAATCAGATCAGAGAAAGGCAAGTATTTTTATTGTGTGAAAACTTGCTTTAGAATAAACAAAGTAGGAAGATATGGTGTTTTGAAGATTTGCACATCTGAATTATGTTTTTTTTTTTCAATGCTTCAGTATTCGAGATCATTTTATGACAATTTCTGTTAATTCAAAAAGTCTAGATGTTACTTGGGAAATAAGCAATCAAGCACATAACTTGATCAATAAGCATACTAAATTACTTCAAGTTAGCGCTTATCTCTCCGATGTATTTTGAAATTAAAGTGTTAAAAAGTTAGTTTATTATACATGAAGTGGCTTGCACATTCCAACGTATCATTTGTTATTAGTCATTTCGTCAAGAAACATGGACTGCTAAGTCTGCACTGTTTCTTTCTTTCTATTGACAAAATTTTCCAAATAGTCATGCTGCTTGTTTCCAAAGTTGATCTAGGGGAGAGCAGATTGATTTTAAAAGGCCATAAAGAAATTCTGTTTATTGTTTCTCTTAAAATTTTATTTATTCCAGAAATCTGGAAAACATGAAAATGGTTCAACACCAGAATCGAGCAAACGCCGACGAATCCGACCAACAGGTCTTAATTTTGATGACTGAATTCACTACTCACCATATCATTCCAGTTTCATATTCATCTTTCAGCGCCATCCCAGACATTTATATTTACTATCATTCATCTTCATAATTTCGTTGCTCATTTTGTAATCCTCAGCATTCTGTTATGAGTGCGAGTCTTTTCTAAAAACTTTTTATTGGTTATCAACTTCAGGAAATTATCTTTGTCAGTTTATTTCAGATTTTTCCACTGCCTCTTATTGTGTCACCATTGCTACAGCTTATTTTGCCTTGTAAATCTCATTCTCTAAATGCCGTTTTATCTGCTTTATCAATTTTTTTTCTAATATTTTTTTTAACAAATTTCCGTTATTGGTTGCTAATGCAGTTATATGTATTGATCTCCCATAGTTTTGTCTTGCTAAATTTTGAGATACTTTCCTTTTTTTTCGAAGTTATTTATATATTTGTTTTAAATGGAAAACTAGCGCTCGGAGAATTCTTTTGGAAATTTATTAGAAATATCTGATGAAAAAAGCCAGCGTAGCGATGCATTTTGGCTGGGTGTGAAAAGTAGCGATGTACATTTCAAACGTACTGTCACTAATACGATGTAAAAAAGTAGAAGTTTGCGAAGGAAATGTCATCAAAGTTTTATCAGTTTTATCCTTACACAGCAGTCATTTAATTGTTTTTTTTTCGATCCATTTTCTCAATCTTTCCAATCGTCCAATTTGTTGAAATTCCTGTCATCACGTTTTTTTATACATTACATACATATATGCAAGTAATTATTGTTTCAGAAAAATTAGTTGACGAATTTTTCATGATTTCAGTGGCTTCTACTCCATATTAGGCTTATTGGTTATTTTTTATTATGAATCTATTTAAAGTTTTCTAAGTAACTTAAAACTATAGATTGGATATTGATATGAGGACTCTTTCATATGCTAGATTACCTCATCACGAAGCAAAAATGGTGAATTTTGGCAATTTATTTCAAGGTTTCAGGGATTTGGAGAATAATTATTCACAGAAGTGTAGTGGAGTGAAGCCAAGTAATTTTAAGTGCACAGTGATATGCAGTTTAGTTTAAAATATTCGTTAACAGCTGCTGTCCTGACTAATCTTAGGCCGAATCCGTCTTACCTTCTTTCGAAGTCATTTGTGAGTAAACCTGAAAAGATTACCGTTTTAAGTCTTCCATTTAGTACTGGAAAAACATGTAACATGGACTGTGGATCTATGCTCATAAATATACAATTCAATATTACTGGTATTATGGAGAGCATGGTCTTTGAGTCTTTGCGGTACAAAATTCCTGAGTTTATGTGAAGCAATTAGTGTGATTTCTCGGGATATGTTCTTGGATTTCGGATAATTTACATTCTTAAAAGAGAAAAACTAATTGCCGAAATTCACCCGCAATTCCTTATGTTTGTTCCATCTTTTTTTTCATTATTTTTGTGCAATAAAAATTCTCAATACAACTGTTTGATTAAAAAAAGGCTTTTCGGATTGTTCGAAATTCCATTAGTGATGTTATCTATCGTTTGCCAAAAAAAGTGATTTGGTATATTAAAACATCATTTTTAAATTCAATGTGTTAAAATGTTTACCTTCTGCATAGTATGACATTATGGAACACAGATTTAAACAGGTTTCACTGAGAGAGAAAGTGAAATGCAAGATGAAGGTTGATTTCAAATATCGATATTTGAAACGGAATTCTCGATGCGACGTCGAAGCAACTAGTAGGAATTATATACCATGGAGAAAACCAGTCTCTTTTGAAATCTATAATCTTTACACTCTCATTAGACTTCATCGTTTGAATTTTTGTTGAAAAAATATTTGTCCTTGAAGATACAACGATATGAGTCAGGTATGATTGCGAATTATCAAAGAACTAGTCGTATTTGACAAATTTTGAAACATCTAAAATTTCCACACAGTTTAAGGTGCTATGGAACCTGGCAATTACATTTATTCGTTATATGCTATGCAATGCTATGCAATGCAATGCAATGAAATTCTGATTTACGGTCAGTCATATGTATCTAAACTTCTACGTTCTTTTTTGTGTAATTCTTATGCCATTTGCCTAATTTTTGCCATGGGTACAATGACTGATAATATATAACTTATCAAGCATTAGGCGATTTCAACCCGTACTGTTTGTTGATGAACCTTATTGAGAGATACGTTAACGGTTATATCTGTTCGAAGTTTTCCCACTTTATATTAAAATTCAATTTTTAGTAATACCGGGAGACAATTTACTGATTTCAAAAAAGAAAAATTTGTTCTTTTGAATCATACTATCTTTGATTCTGTAATTCAAGGTTTTATTCATAAATTAGCTATCGGAGGAATATATCTCTGATATTGAATACTAATGACAACTTTCAAACATAATATTTTTAATTATTTCAAATTGGATAATCAAAATTTTCAATTTAGAAAAAATTTCCGGTCTACAAAATTTATTCAATTAATGAGAAAATGTAAATGAAATGATAAATAATCCAATCATGATTGATAATCAGGTTATAAAGAAGGGTAGTAAGAACAATTCATATATCGAATTCTAATTATTTTGCTCATCCCGTAATTGTATTTATCTCTTTATTATCCATTCCTCTTGTTTGACTAAAAAATTTAGAATTCGCTAAGGCCTTTTTTACTTTTTTTCTTATTTGAACAATAAAAGGACGTTAATCATTACATTTTCAACTTTGCCATCTATCAATAACACTTTATTTCACCATTTTTTTCATCTCTGATTCTCATTAATTCAAAATATTTTCCTTTTTTCTAGAGTTCAGTGAACTTGAAAAATAATTAGAGCAATTGTCAAAGTGAACAACAAATCGAGCACAATTGAGGTGCACTAACTGTTCTTTAAATGCATTATCTTGCCTTCGTTACGGTAAGTTTGCAAAAAAGATATTAGTGTCAAAGGTGACGATTGTTTTTAAAATAGGACAGAGATGTTTGCGAGTTCCTGTCATCATATTCATTTAATGAATTTGTTATGATTGTATGTTAAGTATATAATACATTTTGTAATTTTCATTAATGCTTTAAAGCAAATATTATTTTAAGCAAATTACCATTTAATTATTAATTCGGTAGAAATCTCAGTGTTTTGATTTACCTTTCAAACATTTTGTAAAGAGCATTTTTTCAATTAAATTTTAAATAAATTCTGGAATTCTTAATATTTTTGAAATATTATTTTTGAAATTAGATAATGAAATAATATATATAGGGAAACATATATAATAATCATATCAAAGGGGTCAGATCAACGGTTTATAATGCTTCCTATTATCTTTTATTATTTATAAAAATTGAATCCTTTATTCATGAACTTCTTTTCCAGTGTTTTGGATGAAGTTTAAAATATTTATAATAAAATGAAATTTCGAAATGAAAATTTTTTAATTATAAAAGAATATTCTTCGAGTTCCATCTCAGTTTTTCAAGATTACGCTGTGGTTAGCAAATACAGCCAATGAATGTCTCGGAACATCCGGTGAAGTTTTCGTTCCGCATCATTCTTCTGCTTTACGAATGCGCTTCAGTGATGATGTATTTCAGCAATTATCCAGAGTAGTCGGTATTCTTTTGTTTCCTCCTGAAAATCTTATAAATGTTCGGAAGTTATTACATTTAATGCCGGAAGACATAATTTAAAAATTCAGAAAAAATCGGAATATGGAAATATAAACCATAGGAAGTAAATTTATTATTGAAAACCAAAAAATATATAATTCAAATGATAAAACTACTATTAAAACTATTATTTACATTGATAAATAACTCAAATATAATACATTTTCTATGATTACTAAAATAAATATAAACATTGAACACATATAATATGTGGAATTGTTTTGGGCATGAAAATGTATTCAAATACTTATTTCATAAGAATAATATTTGAATTATAGCAATTAAATATCAATGTTTGAAAACTTTTTTTGGTAATATATCCACTTGTTCGTTCCAGAATATTTATTCATAAAGTATACGAAACGAGTACTGATTCCACCGCAACAACAATGCTTTCCAGAAGGATGTGTTAGAATTCAGAATCTCAAAATTATTGCACAAGAAAATCCAACACACGTCGGAATGATGCCAACACCACCACGATTTTTAACACTTACTATTAGTGGCTTTAACTTTTAGTACGTTGTAGAATTTCAATGTAATAAAAAACAAGAAAAAAGTGAAGTTTAATTAAATTATGCTTCCTGTGAGTTGACAAAAAAAGAATTGATTTCAAAAAATGACTTTCATTATTAAAATGATTAGTAATTTAGAAGAAAGTAATGCCACAATCTTTTCAATTATTCATCGTAATCTAATTATTAACTAAAAATCATTGTTAAAGCATCGCAGGTACGTTATACGGGCAATTACAACTATTACCGCTATTACCAATGACAATACCAACATTTGGGACATTAGCAATATCTGCCAATCAGCTTGTCATAGAAACTATATTTGATATTCGGAAAACCGTGGATGATATACTCTATATTCAAGTAATCAGTTGTTCTCTAATTAATGAAGTTATTCTCGCTCAAGTAGATAATATGGGCCTGTTCACCGTTATTGTTAATGCCAAATATCAGGTAATTTTTAAACAAATCACTTTCATTATTTCAATTCATTTCTTGTCTAATTGTGTTTGTAGATTTAACAAAATTTTGAAAATATTTAAATGAACATTTTTAATTATGAATTGAAAATTTAAGAAACGATGCTAAAGCATATGATATATTTGAAATTGTAATCACGTAAGTGCAACATTTTACTTTTTTCCCAGATCCTCTTTCAATGAATTGTTTATAATATATTAATAATAGGGCGATTGCAAAAATTATTTCATTGTAGCGCGAAATAACGGCAAAAGCTCGAGAGATGTTAGAAGAAACTCTTTGCAGTACCATAAATAATGTGGTCAATAATGAAATGAATAGTCAATTACTTCAAATACCAAATCAAATATCCATCATTGATTTATATCGAATGATTTTTGAAGTTAACACTATTTCCTTTCTTCTTTTTTCCTTGAAAAAAATTTGATATAAATCCTTTCTTTGATCTCATTTTAAATCATAAAATTAATTGTTCAACTGTTTGCTTGCTTTTTAAATTAACGGGAATTTTGTGTATCATTTGAAATAATAACAGGCTTATTATTTTAAATAGCAAAATTTTTTAAAACAAAAAACAATGCATAGATTAGGCGATGAAGATTATGTTGGCTATGAACGTTTTCCGGAAACTTATTAAATAGAAAGTACTAAAATATACTATCGAATAGAACATATTCTTTTTAAAGTATTTGTTCAGAATTCGGATAATATAAGCGGTCAGAAGAAAGCAGCACTGAGATCCGAATCAAACTATCTGCATGGTAAGCCTTTTTATATTAAAAAAATTTGATAACAAATTCATACTTCTTCTTTTTCATTCTTGCTGTTGAAATAAAAATAACTATTATTTTTCACCTTAAAAAAATACATTGATTAAATGCCTTACAAAATCTTTGCAGTTCCAACACAATTTAAATTCCAAACGCCCTTTGGAAAAGATATGTTGCACGAATCACAGTTAGGTAAATTGAATGGATTATTCAGCACCTCACTCGATAAAGATAAAATAGAAACAAAAATTCTAAATTCATCTTCCTTCCCAACAACTGTAACACTTCAAAAATCAAAAGGAATTTTGTCCAGCATTGTTAGTTTTCTTTTCTTTCTTTAAATTGTATTTTTCTCAAAAATTTATTTTAATTCATTCTCTATTGATATTCTCTATTGTTGTTTTTTTCTTTCTTACAACAATTTTTACTTATAAAACAATTTATTTTATAGAATAATAATTCGGAAATTTGGTGGAAAAAGCTATCCCTGTTAATTGTTTCGCTAAGCATTCTAGACACCAGCGCAGCGTACGGTAGATTTTTCACCGGCCTGGATGGTAATGTATATATTAAAACATATGATCAAATTAAAGTTCGTTTTATTTATTTATTTCTATCGTTCTTTTACTTATAATAAATTTGTAAATGATAAATGGTTGTGTTAGCTCTGTTGATAAATCTTTGATAATATAATTTTTCAATCTTAACACAATCTCTTCCCAGAAGTTTCTTTAATTTCTATCATAAAAAAAAATCCCACTTCTGAAATTATTCCCATGTACATATTTGCATACTCGAATTGATTGCATTTTAAAATGCACAGCAATATGAATAATTAGTAAATCACTGATAGATATCATTTAAAACTCTTATTATTATTTGCAATCCAAACTTTTCGTTAAAGAATAAAAGTTTTCGGATGATTTGCAATTTTTAATTTTCATTTTTGCATATGCAATAAGATGACTGTTTCAGAATCCTTATCAACGACCAGAAAGATTACGATTCACTAAAACAATGAACGGAAATGCCGTAGACTTATTGATATCGGAATATACCATCAATACACTTCTCCTTAAAGCACATATGTAAGGATTCGATAAAATGAATGGTGTGAATCATTTCATTCGGATGTACTGTTATTGCGACAAGCATGGCAATAAATAGAAAAATGATCCGTTTAGATTGCCAGAACTGTTACGCCACTCGAGATATTGTTCTCGCTTACAGGAGAAAGCAAAGTTGTATAATGCCGCTTAACTGTTCCTTACATTGCAATCGCTTAACTATTCCTTAAATTTGTTGGACCAATTACAGATGTAAAATAATCTTAGGCGCTAATGTCTTCTCAGTTTTCTTGAAGCATGTGCACATGATTGCCACATTTAAAGTGTGCTAAAATTTGTCAGATCCATCTCGATGAAATATATGGGCTAAATTTCAAATAATAATCATTAATTGAAATTCTAAATCTCCATTGTTAGATATTTTATATCACAAAATTTTTCTGAAGTCTGAAAAATCTAATTGGAATTAAACATTATCTTTGTGATGAAAAATTGTCATGTTTATGCCTCTTGAAGTTGGCATAAACATGCAATGAGTACACATCGTTACAATATCGCTTTTATTGTTGAACTGCTCCTATACGTTAGGCACAACTTTACTTTCTAAATTTGATCTCAACGTCTTTCAATAACTCAATAATCATTTTAAAATTATAACTGATCGCTTAGTGCTGCTATCGTTGTGTAGAGTGACACTGAATGATTCATTTTTTTGGCAAGTACGGGAAAAATTATTGAATTTTATTTTTATTTCATATTTCATTTACCATTAAATTTCATAATTACCACTTTCAGAATTGGTGCGTTAGTTTTCAGTGTGAACTCAGGAACACCTGTGCTTGGTAAATTAATACGCACATCATGTGGAATAGATGAAGTTTGTCTATCGGATATTATTCCAAAAATTGCCGAAACATATCCAAATAAGCAACTTGAAATTATCCTACGTACCACTGAACCACCTAAAGCAGTGATTTCGGCAGGTTTGACTATTTATAGTGTATTAAAATACCGTAGACAGTGTTTGAAATTTTTTAATTTCCTTTTCTAAATGGAAAACTTTTGAAATGAAATTGTAAATTTCTTCATAAATCAGGTACCGCTATTCTGATGCTAGAAGGTCGGGCGATATTTTTCGTTGAAGGAACAACCAAGAAAATTGGTATAATACCGTTTAGTACGATTATGCAATGCAAAATTACAAGCTTACCTCGCCATATTACTGGTTAGTTTCATTCGCAATCAAAATGAAATTAATTAGAGAATTATTTTACAGCATACATTTCAACTTCTTCAATTTGTAGGAGTTGTTCTACATTTCAACTTATGTACTCTTCTTAATTTGGAAATTTCAACGAATTGATAATGTTAAAATACGGCAAGTATATATTCAGAAGTTCTATACTAAATGAAAAGATATTTTTGTTGGATTAGGTGAAGTTACAGTCGAACGACATGTAATATAGATTAAACATTTGGTGGTTAGAATGTAAACTTTTTTAAAGAATTTCTTAATCCTCTCATACTTTACATAAAATTAATTAAAACATCATGAAGTTGTTCAGCGATCACTTAGCATTACAGAACGGTTCTGTACTAATAAAATCCGGGAAAATTTTACTTGCTATATCGTCGAATATTTCGGGAACGTTGATTATATTGCGTTTTTATCTGACTGTTTCGGCACTCCTGAATACATTTGTTTGTGAATAAATTTTGATTTTATTTTCAGGGTCGATACAAATAAAAACACTACGATTTCATGAACATATCGATTTTTTCGGTCTTTCATTGCAATCTTTGAATAATTTCAAGGAAGCAGCAAAAGGTGCTGTGATTAAAATGATAAATGGAATACTTCGAGAAGGTATCAGTTTAAATGAATCAACAGGATCACGATTGTCTAATACATCTATCAGCATAGTTGATAGAGCTGTTTTATTGCAAACGAAACTTGATATTGAGAGAAGTTTCTACCAGCAAATGTCAATTTCAGCGTAGTAATTGCCCGATGCCGAAAATATCAACTTTTTCATTTTTTTATACTCTGAAATTTCCAAACGAAATGTTTTTAATGATTTCATTCTGACAGATATTTCTTATGAAATACATTCTTCAGGACTTTTTTTCTAACAATATTACTTCGAATATTTCATTCCATAACAAATTTTTATTTCTAATTCGCTATGTCAGTAATAGTTCATTTTCTTTATTTCATGCGATTTTAAATTCATTCCATACGATCCAATGTTACATTTTAAATGTTTCTTTTGTATATATCGTATAAAGTCTTTTTTTTCTTTATCATTTCATACATTCGTATATAATTCTCATTACTCTTTAATTATGAATAGTGTATTTTAAGATTTTCAATATCATTTCATATTACGTTAGAATCTGACGTACGTTTCAGGATACGTTCCTTTTTTTAATGGAGCAATAACAACAAATGATGTATTTTGCAAAGAGAATTTCATGAATGAGCTAAATTTATAAGAAAATAGTAAACATATCGCGATGTTTTATTGAGAGCTAAACAAAATATAAATCTCAGCAAAATTCGTAATATTTATTTCGAAATTGACCTTTTATTAATAAAATACAAAATTGGAACCCATAAAAGTTTTAGCTTATTATTTGAAGGTTAACTATAAGTTTTTAATGAAGTGTAAGACTATAATAAATAGAGCAGCAAATAAATTGCTGAAATAATGCTAAACTGAAAAGTTGTTGAAGAAACATTTTTTTTTTCAAAAATTACAATATTTCTAATCAGCCAATCAGCTATAACGCTAATCGCTCGTAGAACGCAATATTTATAACCATTAAAAATATTGTAATTCTTTTGCTAAATCATTTTAAACATAAACATAAATTTAGACATAAATAATATCGAGCATACCGCATACAATACACGTTGCAATTACCACCGCAACGCCAAATTACAGCTTGTTTACCAGGTAAGAGTGATTGAAATGAATTTCTCGAACAGAAGATGCTTTAAATGGTCAACTGGTAAATATTTCAATGCATTCGCATATGACTGATTGTCTCACAGTATGAGCGGTAACTTTATGCAAGGATATTTTCCAGGGAATATTTTAATCATTTTAATAAAGTTACAAATAAATTGGCTCGATCATGTTCGATCATTATTGAAGTTTAGTTGCATTTCGAGACCGCATACTGTTAGCTTTAGTTGTAGATCAAATTGGAATGCGAAATGGAGAAAGTTCATACTTACTGCGAATTATTCGTACCTCTGACTGATAACTTAGGTTTAATCAGATATTTTCCAACCTCAAAAACTAATAATGCATTTGCAAACAGAGTTAAAAGTAGTGAACTGTGAATAAATTGTAATATATTCTATTAAATAATATAATATATCAATGAACTTTTGCATGTGGTGTGAGCTGGCGAGTAATGATGCAATTTATCGGCGAAGAAAACAAAAATGTCTATTAATTTGAACCGTGACCAGCACTGACCCCTCTCCTTAAGCAGTATCAAAGTTCAGAAGTACAGACATCAATTTAAAAAATATCGAATGAATGTCACGAATGGGAACACCTGCATTGGGACATTAGATTTTCACTGACGGACTTCTGGTCGCTGACGTAAAATTCGGATATGAATGAATGGAGTTGATCGATATCAGACGGAGTTTTAGTGAGGGGGTTGGGGATGCTGTGTTGTTTACGTACGTGATGTGAGCGTATCGCTATATCATATATACGTCGAGAAGAGTATTAGTTATCGAATGGGTGATACGGTTCTGGGATTGACAGCGTTTGTGGAATGCTAGAAGTGTGATTTACACTACGGATGAAGCTCTGACTCTACAAGTCCGTTTTCAGTACACGTTTTAATGAGAACTATTTTTATTTTCTCATGGACGTCATCTTAAGTAGAAACAGTGGAATGCAGTGACTTTTAAACAATTTTAGACAACTAGCTATAATAATAGAAATACTTCTTAGCTTACGTTTCTGAGTATTTTATTGAGTTGTGGTGAAAGTCAGGCACAGTGTACACATATACACAAAATTCATATATATATATACATGTACTTACTATGAAAAAAAGTGGAACTGAACCATTTATATTCATGCGTTAATTCCAATGTGAGACAGTTTAAAAAAAATGGATGTTTTCAGTGTTAAAAAAATTGCATTTTGTGAAAATTTCATTTCTTGAAAACACAACTTCCTTCATATCTCATTCCTTTTTTCTATTGTTGAAAATCTAAATGTATTGTTTATAATGGTGTGGTATGTCGTAAACGGACCGTTATTTCTTGTACAACACATTGCAACTTTGGTCATACTTTGGTAACGAATTGGGATACGTGATCTCCCCTGTAAGGAAATTCGTTCTGCGAAATGTGTATCTTAGGGAATCTATATATTGCTCACCATCTCAATCACTTCATAACAAAGAAAAATGTGGATATGAAGGTGTCCAGTTGAAAGTGGGGTGAGTTACGCATTTCGCGAACATACAATACAGAAGTTTTATAATTGGTATAATCATTATTTTACAGCTGAAAATGGGTGATAATGTGCCGAAATATGCACCTTCTTCCAGCGGAATTAATGGACAGCCATATATGGGTACATCAGGTGCCTATGTACCTTCGATGCAGTATGCTGGGGGGACCGAATCACCTACGACAGTCCCTCCGCAACAACAGCAGATGCAATTTGTTCAAGGATCTGTGCAACATGGAATAACCGCGGAAGAAGTTGCAATTGCCAAACTGGATAGTTCGATAGCAAGCATGGAAGAGCAGCAGATGACTGCAGATCCACGTTACGCGCAGATGCTGTTGTTGAAGCAAAAAATCATAGGTTCATTGTTTGATTGGTATAATGAAGGCTGAGGAGTCTATACTATCATGTTCATAGGTAATAATCGTGTGCATAAAACTCAGGTTTTTTTTCGAGATTTTTTCCTAGTGAGAACTGGTAAATTTTTGATCGAAGAGAGCAGATAAGTTAATGTTTTAGGACAAATTGAAGCTATTAGATGATTCAATTATTTGAATGTTCAAATAATTGAATCATCTAATAATTGTTCAAATAATTGAATAATTGAAATAATAATTGAAAAGGTAAATCCATTATTGAACATTTGAACAGTTTTTGAAATGTTTAATTTTTTAGGAACGCCATCAACCGAAGTGAAGCATCATCAACCGATGGACACAACAGTGAAAGAATCGCAGGAAAATACATTTACATCTGAGCAGCTGGAACAGCTGAAGGCACAGGTATATTTTGAATACCTATTCAAATTGTAGGTTTCTATGAGATCTCTTGCTGACAAATTATTTGCAGATTGGCGCTTACAAACAGTTAGCAGCACAGGAACCGGTTGCAGCAACTCTTATCGCGTCGTCTATATCGAAACCATCTTCTTTGCTTCCTGAACCATATGAATTTCCTGTTGAAACAGAAAATGGGGAGAAGCTGCCGTACGATTTGATGAAAATTCTGACGCTGCATCAGCAACGCGCTAATCGGAGTACATGTCTTCCTCCTCCTCCCGGTGTCGATCCACAGACAATTCTAAAAGAGCGGGAATACAGGTGCATAGAAGATTTAATTTTATGCTAATTTCAGTAGATAATATTTTGAGTTTACCAGGTGCATTATCATTACGGTTCAAAAGACGGCGGCAGATGATACTATTTACATCTAGTTATTCAAACATATTTGAGACATTAAGCTCACAATATCATCTTATATATTTCTCTATCATTTATTATTCATATGTCATCGTGTTGACAGAACTACAAGAAGTATACAGATATGCAAGTACAGATATTTTGCGGTAGTTGCAGGAATATTTCTAGGATTTAAAAATTGAATGAATTCGAAATTCCCAAAATGTGTAATGGTTCAAGTTTTTTTGCAGAATACAGAATAGAATTGGAGCCCGAATTCAATGGCTGAGCAATCTTCCTGCAAATTTGAGTAAACGGTTATTATTAAAAGCGGAAATTGAGCTTCGTGCTCTTCGTTTGCTGAATCTACAAACGCAGGTAAATCACATGAGCTAGAATTTTTCAGTCTTATGCGTATTTTTGCTAAATTTCCGTGATTTAGGTACGAAATGAAGTCTTAAGCCAGCTAAAAAAAGATACAACACTTGAAACTGCGCTCAATCCATACGCATATCGTCGAACCAAACGGCAGTCTTTGCGTGAAGCACGAGTTACTGAAAAACTTGAAAAACAACAAAAAGTTGAGCAAGAGCGCCGTCGTCGTCAGAAGCACAATGATTTGTTGCAGGCAATTCTCCAGCACGGGAAGGAATTCAAGGAGTACCATCGCAACAATCAAGTGCTTTTTTGACTCGAAAATATTTTCATTATTAACTAAAAATTTTAATTTTTGTCTTAAAGATGGAACCAATTTTTCAGGTCAAGCAAAGTAAAATAAAGAAGGCTGTGTTAACTTATCATGCTAATAGCGAAAAAGAGCGGAAGAAAGATGAGCTGAGAAATGAGCGAATGCGTATGCAAAAATTAATGCAAGAAGATGAGGAAGGTTATAGGTAGAGTTCGTTTCTAGAATTTCTGTTTTTCTGAACAGAATAACTGCCAACTACAAAAGTTGCGTTGAATTACAGATATACTCATGGTCCATATGACTTTTAGACAGTTACTGGATGAAAAGAAAGACAAACGTTTGGTTTTTTTGTTGCAACAAACGGATGAATACGTAGAAAGCTTAACAGGACTTGTTAAACAACATCAAGCAACGGAGAAACGAAGAAAACGTAATGAGCGCCGTGAGCAGAAAGAGAAAGAGAAGATGCAAGGTTTTTTTTTTTGAAACTTTTATAATGATATCCATTGTCGAAAAAGGAAGTTTGTGTTGCATAACTGATGGACCGATGACTTTGCAGAAAATGGTGAGTGTGAAGTACGAATACGCATAAGAGATGCAACAACTGGTGAGATATTACCTCTGGATGAAATGCCGAAATCAGAAGATATCGACGCTTGGATTGAAGCGCACCCCGGACATGAAGTAACATTGATTGTTTTGCAAGGATTCTAAGAAGATGTAATGCTAGATCAAGTGCTTGGACGTGGTTTTTGCAGAGATTTTCATTGTTAGGGAATTATGAATTATAAAACATGAGCTAAGGATGAGTTAGATGATAACATTGTTTGGGAAAAGAAGTTTTCAGAATTTAATTTCAAGAAAAATCTCATCTACAGGAAAATTGTTCAACTTTTATAAGAAATGAAAACTGTTCTAAATTGTTGAAAATGTTTTCGAAGGTGGTATCGCGTGAGGAGTACTCAGACAGTGAAGATTCAGAATCAGATGAACCAATCTCGGAACCTATTGAGCAAAAAAAAGATGATGAATTTGAAGGTTTGCTGGTGCTGTTTGCTAATTTCTACAATTCCAATAGCTAATTGGTAATGCTATTCTGTTTTTTTCTAGATCAAATAATTACTGATATGTAGTATATAAATGCGTCTTGTTATATATTAAGGTATGGACGAGGAGACAAGAAATCGTAAAATTATTGAGAAAGCTCGAAATGAAGAAGATGAATATGATCAAAAAAACAGGCGTCAAATGGAGTCTTACTACGCAACAGCACATAAAGTCAAAGAAAAAATTGTGACGCAGCATTCGTCGTTAGGTGGTGGCAATCCGGCTTTGCAGTTAAAGCCTTATCAGGTTGAGTTTGACTGATCATAATTTTCTTTAATTTTTGTGCATTTTCTTTTTCATATTATTACGCTTAAAGTGTTTTGTTTATTTTTCTTTTTTGCTTGTATATACTGAATAGTTTTCATAGGATTCATGATGATAAAATAGTTTCAGTTAAAAGGGTTAGAATGGATGGTTTCCTTATACAACAATAATCTTAATGGTATTCTCGCGGATGAAATGGGCCTGGGGAAAACAATTCAGACGATTGCATTGGTTACATATTTAATGGAAGTCAAGAAGTTAAATGGACCATATTTAATCATCGTTCCTTTGTCGTAAGTCTTTATTTATAATTTAACCTTAGAATCTCTTGTTGCTTTTTTAAATTGTTGCAGTAAGGAAGTGAATAATTCAAGAAATTAAGGATACTGATGAAAGTTTTTGAAAAATTCCGGTTGCAGGACTATTGCGAACTGGAGTTTGGAACTTGAAAAATGGGCCCCACATGTTGTAAGCATTGTTTACAAAGGAAATAAAGAAGCGCGTAAAAAATTAGAAGCTTCTATTCGTCGTAACGCATTTAACGTGCTGTTAACCACTTATGATTATGTGCTGAAAGAGAAAGGTCTTTTAGGAAAGGTATTCTTTTTATCTAGAAGTCATAAGCACATATTTTAAAAAATTTATATTTTAAATTTTATTGACAATACTGAGATGCATGCATATTATAGATACGATGGAAGTATATGATCATTGACGAAGGTCATCGGATGAAAAACCATAATTGCAAATTAACCTTAGTTTTGAATGGATACTTCACTGCTCAACACCGTCTTCTCCTCACCGGAACTCCGTTGCAAAACAAATTACCAGAGCTTTGGGCATTATTAAATTTTCTTCTTCCATCAATCTTCAGCTCATGTGGAACCTTTGAGCAATGGTGAGAATTCAAATTAATTTCAAGAAGCTGAGAACGCCGTGATTTTCTTTTATATTGTTTGATATAATTTTCAGGTTTAATGCTCCATTTGCAACAACTGGTGAAAAAGTGGAGTTGAATCAGGAGGAAACAATGTTGATCATTAGGCGGTTGCACAAGGTATTTTCACATACAGTTTTTCATACCCAACTGTATTGACTTTATGAATATGTGAATCTCATTAGTAAATCGTTAATGTATATCCTTTTCCTCTCGTTCTCTTGATTTGTAGATTCACCTATTTGGTTTTTTACCGACAGCTTTTTTTACCTATTGATTATCTTGCGTTTAAAAAATACAATGAGACTTTAGCTGGTAGTTGATGAACGTTTTAGGAACAAAACAACTGATTTCAGGTGCTGCGCCCATTTTTGTTGCGCCGTTTGAAGAAGGAGGTAGAAAGTCAGTTACCAGAAAAAACCGAATATGTTATTAAATGCGATATGAGTGCGCTACAAAGAATTCTTTATCAGCACATGCAGAAGGGTCTACTTATCGATAGCAAGCATGTCTGTTTTGTTACGTCTGTTATGCATAGACATTGTTTTATTCAAAATGTTTGCTGAGCGTAGTCAATTAAGATGTCAGGATATCAAACATGATAATTCTAGGCCGGTGGGCGAGCGCTGATGAACACAGTTGTTCATCTTCGAAAACTTTGCAATCACCCATTTCTTTTTGAGAATGTTGAAGATGAATGCCGTGAATTCTGGAAAGTACCAGATGTTTCAGGGTTAGTTTTTCACTTAATATTTTTAGTGAACAATGCAGAAAACATAATTATGCAAATTTTTTCTTAATTGCATCCGACATTTCAGAAAAGACTTATATCGTGTAAGCGGTAAATTTGAACTTTTGGATCGTGTTTTACCGAAACTAAAAGCTTCTGGTCACCGCATCCTTATGTTCTGTCAAATGACATCACTTATGACAATCATGGAAGATTATCTCAACTACAGAGGTAAGAGTTTCTGTTTAAAGTTAAGAGCTGTTCATGGATTTATGTTTTTCATTTTTCTTCCAGAATTTAAATATCTCCGACTTGATGGTAGCACAAAACCAGATGAAAGAGGTCAGCTGTTGGAATTATATAACGCACCAAACAGCGAATACTTTATATTTATGTTATCAACACGTGCCGGTGGTCTTGGTCTGAATTTGCAGACTGCAGACACAGTAATCATTTTCGATTCGGATTGGAATCCACATCAAGTGAGAACATTCTTTATTTTGTTAGAAGACATTGTTACAGTACTTGAATCCTTACTGCAGTTTCATTTATATATATATGTATATGATATAGAACCCTGTGCATGTTGTAAGTTGTAGAAATTATTCAAATTTTAGTTTTAATTTATTTTCCGAAGTGCAAAAATTTCCATATAAATATAGGATATGCAAGCGCAAGACCGAGCTCACCGTATTGGCCAATCTCGTGAAGTACGTGTTTTGCGATTGGTTACCGTGAATAGTATCGAAGAAAAAATTCTGGCAGCAGCTCGATATAAGTTGAATGTAGATGAGAAAGTAATTCAAGCAGGGAAATTTGATCAACGTTCCACAGGCGCAGAACGCCGACAAATGTTGGAACAAATTATCAGGTGGAATTCCGGTTGTTAATATTCTGTAATTTTCTACTTGTTAGGTAAACCTGTTAAAAGACAAGTTTTTACACCACCTTTTTAGAGCAGAAAGTGAAGATGACGATGAAGATGAAGTACCAGACGATGAAACAATCAATCAAATGGTTGCGCGGTCTGAAGATGAGTTTGATATGTTCCAGGTAAATTATCTAGACTGTTTAATATTCAGATTGGTTTGCTATTGAGTTTCATCCGTTACCTAATTTGGATTCAATTTTCATTGATTTTATTTAAGAGAATGGATATTGAACGTCGTCGTCAAGAAGCCACTGAGTGTCGTCGTAAACCTCGACTGATTGAAGATAGTGAGATTCCGGAAGGTATTGTAAAAGCTTCACAGCATTTCATTGATGAGGAAAAGGAACCACAAAAATCAAAGCTTGCATTCGAACCGGTTGGACGCCGGCAACGGAAAGAAGTTGATTATTCACAGGTAATTTCTAAAGTGATCCGAAAATTGTTCAGAATCCCTAAAAATAGTATCTCGCAATTTTCTGTTCCAGGATTTGATGTCGGATCGTGATTGGCTAAAAAGTATCGATGAGGATGTAGATGACGATGATGAAGACGACGAAGAAGAGAAGAAAAGAAAGAAGGGGAAGAAAGATAGAGGAAGAAAGAGACGCCAAATTGGTAAATATTATAAGTAATTAATCTTTCTTGTTTTCAAATTGCTGAATGTATATAGCTCTTTTTTTCTACAGATGACGACGATGATGAACCACCGAAGCGCAGAAAAGTTTCACCTGAGATAACTTCACTTCTCAATAAGCTGTACGAAGCTTTAATAAAATATAAAACTAGGTATGATTCCCATTCCTAATAAATTTTAGTCTATTTCATCGTATTTTTTCTTTTTATCGAAATCATTTTTTAGTAGTGGAAAGGAATTAGCGGCAGCTTTCGAACAGTTACCTTCACGAAGAGAGCTCCCAGACTATTATGAAATCATAGAGAAACCGATGGATCTTAACAAAGTGAGACGGAAAATTAAGGATGGCAAATATCATAGTGTGCAAGATATGGGGAATGATATCAGACTTTTGTGTAATAATGCAAGAGTAAGTCTTGTGCTTATACTTTGTTTTGATCTTTCTCGCTATTTTGCAGATTTTCTGGATCAGTTTTACAGTAAATTATATCATGTAAGCTAACATATCTTTCAGAAGTATAATATAGACGGTTCGGAAATCTTTAACGATTCGGTTTTGTTGGAAGTTTTGTGGACCAAAATATCCGGTGATGAGCAACAGGCTACTACTTCAAAATCTCTTGTCTCAGGAGAACCGAAGACCGAAAAGACTTCTTCAGAACCAAAGGACACTGGCAAAGATCCAAACAAAGACAATGGAAAGGATTCAAAGGAATCCACTGCAACAAGTTCACGAAGTAGTCCCAGTCTCGAAGACGACAAAGTAAGTTTGACGTCGTAAAGGTTGTTCGAAAATTTTATGCTGTTATGGGGAAGCATTGTTTTTCTCATCAATCTTCTTTTATTTGTATGACATTGTGCAGGAGGTTTCTTACATCGGAGTTTCAGGATAGCGGTCGTCGGAAGAAATCCCATCCCGTTAAGCGCCCAATTTCACCGGATGACTGAGGACAGATTGAGTTAATTTTATCGCTAGAATAAGCATAGCGAATATGTGAACCTGTATGAGTACTGATTACCGTTTCCAGTGCATCTCCCACGTCAAAACTTACATTTGTGACGGAAAGTATTTTTTTTTCTACCGATTCTCTTGTTTCAAGTATGAGAAATGCTACTGCCCTTGAATATATACTTTTCTTTCTTTGTATTTCATTTTGAACTGTTTTTTCTTTACATTATCCGTCAAAGTTTGTAATTGCATTTGATCTTTTATTTTTCTATAGAACTCTTCACGAATCCCAGCCCTTTAGGCACCTCGTAATCCGCACTATCGTTTGTTGTATTGTTTTGATATATATA